GAAACGCATTTTTGGCTGAACGCACAGCGAAATGTGAGTGTTCCATTTTTTTGGCAAGTATAGACGGCTGGCGATCAGTCTCCATGCGCCCGTCACCAATCCACATGGTAGTAGTAACTCACCCAAGGTATGTCCATTGCTACCAGATTAGACAATAAGAAGAAGTGACACAGGTTCCCCCTCATCTTGCTCATCATCTCCTCCCCCACTTGTTGGTACAGTGGCTCTCCTGTTTCTTTTGTACACAGTACATTACGACACATTGGACCACTATCTCTTGGCAAGTGTATCTCGTGGCAGCGGTGAGGTTGAGAGAGGAAGGAGCCCCTAGTGTCACGGTCCACCACCGGGTGTGTGGAGTGTGTGCGTGTGGGAGGGGCCGCGCCATACTGGGTTTGTGTCCTTTTCTTGGCGGGACTGTTGATACCATTTCGTCCTGTCGACTCGTCTTCTGTTGTGTGTGTGAACTTTTTTCTCTCCTCTTGCCACATGCACACGTCTGTAATAGAGAGAGTAGGCAACAACATTGCTATATTCTGCCTTGTTCACTTGGTTTACACGTCATTAGTGAGCCAGTGGGCCAAGTAAGATCAGTGATGGACTGGTGCCTTAGAGCTCCAAACTGAAACCATTGTCATTGAGATCACTTTTTAGCAGGCGCAGTATTTTAAAGCCAGTATAGCATCTTTAGTATCTAAAGTAGTAGTAGTAGCAATGGATATTATATACATTGGGTGAGCTATATACCATGGACTGGACCCATTGTCATTAGTTTTTCAGGCAAGTGTATATAGTGCTGAACCCATTGTCACTTTTTAGCCGGCCTGTTGCACGTGGTGGCAGAGACGGACTACAAATTAATGTCATACCTCTTATTTGGAGGTCCCTTGGCAGTCCATTTGCACTGCTGCCCCATTAGCTCCCCACACAACTCTTCATACTTAGTCTCCTACGAGAGACAGTGTGTACACATCTTCTCTAGTACCCTGCAAGCGGGTTATACACATGTATACACATATATACCAGGAGGAAGTTTGGTAGTTCAATCTGAGAGTCCACCTCAAACTGTGACTGGATCTGGCTCTGTGTACCAATGTCCAGGTAGACTGGACTCACCCACTCTGACAACACCGCCAACTACAGTGACATTCGTACAGACACTGTTCCTATAGTTAAAATTCACTCCAGCTCAGTACATAATGTGAAGGTTTTTCTACTGCAAAAAAACCCAGCCCACAAAATTCTACAGACACCTAACCTACAAGATGGCTCTAAACAATCTCCGACAGTACAGTAGATACAGGGTATATGGATGGTTTACAGTGGAGACTATGTGTACGTACATCAGCGGGGATGGGAGGAGTCATGGGAGGTGGTGGGAGGGGTTTAGGTAATGGTCTGGGGACCTCAGGTCCATGGAACCATCCACTGATAGAGAGACGTGTCTTCATTGACTGCAGCACCTCCGATACCTACAGCACACCACAACAATGTCCTTCTACACATTCATTCTCACTTTAATACACCGTCACCAAATCTCACTTGGTGAATGATGGAGAACTGATTCACTCTACGTAATACATGGTGGTTCAACCTCTGCTTTTTAATTGGTGACACACTTATTCTCGTGACCTTTGCTTGCGTGCAGTTTACATGAAACCTGTATAGTTAGCAGTAAAAACGTAACTTTTGGAATGTGGTTGGCACATAGTTAAGCATGTGGGGCACCAATTGAATACTGTCACAATTTCAATCCACGAATGTTATACGGTGGCATTTGCAGGCATTTGTTAGCTCAAAAAAGGGCTGCTTAAGAAGCACAACCTCTAGATATGTACCAGTGCTATTGATCAACTGGTGACCCTCACCTGGTGGAAGGAAGCGGGGGTGACTTCGAAGAAGACAAAGTTGTTCCACACTGGAGGAATGGAGACTGCCACCTCGTGTGGGTGGCCATTCTCTGTACGGACACACAGTACACCATCTCCCATACTGCTTCAAACTGCCTACAGCTTGAGTTATAGACTGTAGTATACACTCACCGTCAGTATCAAACAGCTCCAAATTACCTGAAGAAAGTAAATGTAACTTAATGATACATAATTCCGGGTAGTTTGTTTTCTTTCACTCTGTTCCTGACAACATACAGCAAAAACATACGTGGATTGTGTAGAAGTCCACAAACGTGGTTGGGCAGTGTGCATTGTGCACCAAAATATTCCCAAAATAATTGTTTTCACGATTTTACGTCAAACAGTAGTGCACTAACTAGAGGCTTTAGGCACACAACTGCTCTACTGTGCACTCGAGCCCTCGCCTAGAGAATAGAGAGTGTCGTGGGTTTGAATCCCACCCAGGGCAGCTCAGCTTTTTTCCTTGGAAAAAGATTCGTCCTGGGTGTAGTTGACTTGTTTGCTTTGCTCTGCCTTTCTACCTCGCCACCTCGTTGCTGACACATGCTCCTGCTAGTTTCGTGGCTAATGAATCTCTAGTGATGACGCTGGTGTACAGCTGTGAAATAGTGTAGAGACCTCCATCCAGAGGTGTCCAGTCCTGGACCAGGTAGAAGACGAATGCAATTCTCCTGCCCTCCAGCCGGTCATCATGACAGAGCAGGTAATCTGTGGGGACAAGTTACAAGATGCAAAGCCAGCAACAATGATAGAACCTGGGCAATACAGTGCATAAGAGTTTTATTCTTGTCTGACCAACACACAAATCCATTCGTAAAATCTTCAGATTAGTTGGTGGGTTTACCTGTGAACTCATATTTGGAGCAGGTGATGTCAATTTGAGTGGTGAGCTGTATTCCAGTCACCTGCCCCAGCCAGGGCAAGACTTGCTCTCTGAGGACATCTCTACAGAGAACACATACATACACAGGAAAGGCACCATTAATCATGACCACTTTAAACCAGGGCTAAATTCCCTTTGCATATATACACCAACCTAAATGCAGTGATGCAAGGAGACTTGAACCGCTTCAGGTCATCAGACTGAAACAGGCAGAGATAAACACGAGTCACAAACTCCTCTTGAAAGAACACTCCACTAATACACCACAAAACCACACCAACATTTGTCACAAAAGAACATACTTCACTATATATTACACCACAAACCATTGTCACATCTCCTTTGAAAGAACGTCCATAGTACACCACAAAACAACCATTTGTCACAAACTGCTTTTTAGACACACTCAGCTATACACAAACCATTGTCACAAACTCCTCTTGAAAGAACACTCCACTAATACACCACAAAACAACACATTTGTCACAAACTGCTTTTTAAGAACACACTTCAGCATTATACCACAAACCATTGTCACATCTCCTCTTGAAAGAACGCTTCACTATTTTACATGACTGTATATTATACCAAACCTCCTCTTGAAGAATACACTTCACTAGTATACCAAATTAATGTACCGATTTTCACGACATTTTTTTGGAGTTTTTAGAGTGACAGTTAAAGCAGATAAAAAATAAATATTTGACGACTACACTTTAATATTCATCAAAAATATCAATAAATATGCATGAAAAGATTGAAATAAAATGTGACTACAACATTATAAATTGGATGAGATCTAGTGCCAGCACAAATCGCGATCAAAAAAGGCTTCCAGACGACAAGCACATGAGTCCTATTCACAGGCACAGTCGATTGAGGTACGGCAGATAGTGGGCTGGAGGCTGGTTGGGATGAGGGCCCTCACCCACTGTTTCACCAGGCCAGGATCTGCAGTGGCACCATCTGGGAATATCCCTGGCAGCAGTCTGTGAACTGAATACGCCTCAGCGATGGTCAGCGAGTCTCTGCGTTGAGACTGGCCTCTCGGTGAGTTGTAGAGGTGGAGAGACCAGGTGGCCACTTCATTCAGGTCCTCACAGTTTACTTGGTGGTCAACTGTTGAGATCTCCAATACCTGAATAGAGAGGAATATCCAAAGTTTAGAGATCATGATGAATCAATGATGGGTTTCTTATATGGCAAGAACCCGAATATGTAAGGATTGAATTACAAGACCATAGAGTAAGTTGCATATATACACTAATATGATGGGAAGATTACGTATAGAGACTCACATAGTTGCAAGCATCCTTGACAACTTGGCTCACAACAGCAGACAGAGCTCGTAGCTCGAGGCTACTGGAACTACTACTGCTGCTTGTTGCATTGCTACTGCTGTTGCTACTGCTGTTGCTGTTTTTGCAGGTATGAGTGGAAGTAGACGATGAGGTGTTGGGGGAATTGAGAAGGCCCACGGCATTGTCCAGTCGGATAGCTATCTGTGACAGACTGACTAGTGTTGTGTAGAATGTCGTGTTCCCAGGGGCAGACACAGCTTTCTAAAGTGGAGAAAAACACACATTTTGTCGGGTAAACATAGAGAAATATGAAAATGGGCACATATATATAGGGTTCATTGGGGGACCTATTGTTTTAATAGGGGAGTTCTTCTCTCTGCTATAATATGAATCTGAGTCTGTTGCATGGACTGAACTTACCGTGAAATGCTCTGCAACTTCAAAACCGTTTGCAAGTTGCACGGCAGCTGAGGCGGGCTGGTAGTTGGTGGAGCAATTGGCTGTAGCTGCAGATCGTCGAGTGTTTGGGGCAGACGAGCAGCAGAGAGCCCAGAGCACCACACACACTGCCACAGTCGAGAGCGTCTTCTTGAGGTAGTTGCAGATCATGGTGACTAAAGGTGATTCGCTAGGCGGGGAGTTTTGGAAAAAGGCGTCTAAGTGTGCTCAAGATCGGTTGATTCAAGACTAATTCAGGTCACTCTAGTTTGATGCTTCATCTCTTCTCAGGCCCTTTTATACCTTTCATTAGCCACACATTCAAAACTCCCTATAAAACAGCAGGATGTTGCCATAAAAAGTGTGAAAACCCCTCTAACATACCGGGCAACTTTCTCCCCTGGACTATCAATAACTCGGTCTGAGTAATTTAATTTTACCTCCCAAAGTGTTGAAACACAACAATGAGTCAGTGAGCTGACAGGAGGGAATAACTTTTTTCATACACTTGTCAAAAATAGATTGCTACTACACTTCACCCATACATTCAGACACAATGGTACAAGTCTATGGAGCATACTATACGTGACTGTCTTACTGTCAGTTTCCTCCTTGTGGATTAGTAAAATAAAAAAAACGTGTACCATTCAGTTTCATTCATTGAAGAAATTCATTTTCAGCGTCGCCACAACATGCATTGTGCACATACATTGTACAGCACAGGACAAATTAACAAACACACAGTCTGCTAGTAAAAATTCTCACAGAGCAGGGCCTCTGGTACGCTTGCCTCACTTGCCTCTCTAACAACAACATTTTTCTTTTGTGTCACTTGCAACAGTTTTGTAAACAGGGAAAGTACCAGGACATCCCTTTGTGTAAATTACATACAAAAACAGCACAGCAGGTAACAGATACACACACATACACATTATGTTTCTAAGTCTATGAAAGCTCTGGACACATTTACGTGTCAGTGCCTTGTTAAAAAATCGAGCATGAACATGTACCCATCCTCATGTGGTAAAGATTAACACTTAACCAGCCAAGGACACATAAATGTGTCCATTGTCTCCATAAGCAGCGAGATTTTATATGGAGGTTTTAATAATACTTTGTACATGGTTTCTGCTTGTATATTAGTGGTGTGGAAAGGGTTAAGTATACCTGGTGAAACTGGTATAAGTCATTGTTCTTCTCCGCAAACTTGAGTCTCGAAAGTTCCTCTCGGAGCCGGTGGAGGTAGTCCTTGCTGCTCCTGCTGGTGATGAAATCAGGAAGTACACACAGCTGGTAGGGCCTATTGTAGAGAGCCACTCTGCCATCCTCTGTGTGAGAAGAACAGGGCAGTCATACTGGTGGATTCAGGAGGGGAGGTCGTAAGTGTTCTAGAAATCCCCACCTATCTATCCCCTAACGGTAGCATACACTTGGTGAGTTGGCACATAGGTGCATCCTGTGAGATGCGTAACGTTATTGAAAGAGAAGCAGGCTTCATACGTAGATCTGGTCTAAAATGCTGCGTTATAATTTGCCATTACTAGTGGAAATGCTTTGGATGTGAGTGCGACTTTCTGGGCCTCCCGTGCCTGTCGCAGAGGTAGAGCGATTTCTAGGCCTCCCGGACCCATGCCTGTAGCAGAGGTAGAGGCCTCCCATGCCCGTAGCAGGGGTAGAGATCTGTTAGCAGTCCCTTGGTGATTTTCAAACAGGCATAAGCACACTGAGATTTCACAGAAACGACATGAAAGCAAGAGGTAGGCTCAGGCAATGGCTGTAGCTAGAGAAAGAGCTCGAGCAGAACAAAGAAACAAGCATTTAGCAGAAAAGGCAAGTGTGTAGTCTCAACACATGAGGACTAAAACAAGACAAGGTGGGTCATATAACTGAAAGTTCGAGTCAAAGGATCGACTACATAGGTTCGCTCCTGCAAATCTTTTGTGATTTTTCATCGCAGTTAAAAATGGTCTTACAATATTCCCTTACAGTGCTCAATAATAATGAACACACCCTTCCACAGACACTTGATCAATGGTATGGCTGCAAAACCTACCTTTTTTCATCATTTCCTTGTTCCTGCATGTAAAAAACAACTTTTAACATTCTATTTGGGATACAGCATCCCACTGTGTTTACAAATCAGTCTTGCGCAAGTCGTCCACATGTGCAATTACCTCCAGCGTTGGGTGATGCCCTCTAGAAATACCCTACAGCGGTACACGTCACTCATTTCCGCGGCCACGGGCTCCTCTCCTGCAGCTACCCGGGGCTTCTTGCTGCCCGTGGAGCCGCCAGGGGGGCATTCTTCCTCCCTACTCCGCTTCGGCTTTGCTTCCATCGCGCGACCTTTGGACTTTCCCATGCGCTAGCCCAACGCTCAACTCCAATTAGTGCCGCACCCTGTTTGCAAGATTGGCCGGAGGGAAGGTTTACTGCTCAGTCATGGTGAGTTTGAGCTGTCTTTTTGTTTTTTCGCTTCATGCAAGTGCAAAATTGTTCCAAAGCTTCCACTTTCGCTATTGAAAGCGGCACAGAACCACCCAATGGTGAGTTTGGTTTTGTGTTGAAAAACTGGGATAGCTGACTCATTGTTTGTAGTTGGTGGAGCTGAAAAATGGAGAGACCTACAATGGGCATTTGGTCAGCTGTGACACGTGGATGAACATTCATCTGAGGGAGGTTATATGCACATCTAGAGTGAGTTAGCAGAGTGTATGTCATGTGCAACAAGTCGGTGAACTTTCCTCCTGAATAGGATGGCGACAAGTTCTGGAGGATGCCCGAGTGTTTCATTCGAGGGAGCATGATTAAATACCTGAGAATCCCTGATGAGGTATACACTGTTTTACACTATAATCACCCCCCATATTGAGAAAGGAAGGTTGGGAGAATGGCTTTGTGTAACTGTACAAAAATGTTAGTAACTTCTTCAGCTTTTCACTAGTCACCCAGTCTTTCGTAACACTACGAAAAACAACTCCCCTGTATTATACACCAGCCATTGACAAGCCTGCTGTGCTTCAATTGCCCCCAGGTGTATTATATAACATTACCCCCTGGTGGGAATTTCCAACCGATTAATTTATCAGCTGGTGAAAGTTGTTCTTGTGCTCTGTTGTTAATTAAACTGTTTCATTGGCGTTTCATCATCCAAACCTTTCCCGTAATTATTGGGTTCTGCATTTTCCCCTTCATAGACCATAATACCTGTTTTCTCCCCTCTTTCTTCTTGTTCCGTTGCCATCTCTGTCTCACCCTTCCTCCACCTGTCACTCCTTCCCTCCCCCTCTCCTCCCTCCCCCCTCTCTCTCTCCTCCACCTCCTCACCTCAGGTGATAGACATGGTTAAAGAGGAGACAGTTTCTACCAAATCCAGGGGCAGAGGAGTAGGTCAGTTCCGTTATAACTCACCAATACCTTGGTAAAGGCTCTGGCTAGTAGTGCATGGGTTTAAGAATCTTAGAATTTATAAATGCTAGCACAAATCTTTGCCAGATATAAATCACCAATACCTTGATAACGGCTCTAGCTACATATAGTAGTGCGTTAGTTTAAGAACAGATTCTAGTGTATTAGAGTTAACTTGAAGTTATGGATCCTCCTAGTCACAAAGGTCTTTTTGCAAGAACAGATTGTATACAAGTAGGTGTCTGTGCCATATCATATATACCCGGGCAATGGGTTGGAACTGATGGTTTAGTAGCAAGGTGGTGCTGATTTTAACGCAAGGCCTTACATAATTATGTACATACTGTATATGAGCATATCAGCGATATTTATTCAGCACTATGCTGCCTCACGACTACCAGCTACCAGAAGCACAAAGAAAACTGAGGAAAACGTCATATTCCAGAAATGAAGAGCTACAAGAAATGCAACAGCCTGCGTCAATATCAATTATAGTGAACCCGCCTTAGGCCCTACTAGATATATACCCAGACCGGGGATGGTATGCCAGTGTTTATGTGTGTATGGGAGACAGGATTATAATCAGGTTTCCATTCAGACAGGCTTGCTTGCCTGGTTTCATCTGTTTGGTCTACAAGTACGGCAGTCTAACACAGCTAGTCGGCATGCAGGGGATGCATTGCATGTAAATCGATAGCCAATGTATACATTGGTTATACATTGGGACCTGCGTGCTTATGCAACAATACATAATAGAAAGAAAAAATGTACGTATTATAGTGAGTCTGTCGCGTAGTGTGTTTGGTAACAGAGAAACTACTCTGTAATTATTATTAAACATGTCTCCAGTATAACAACAGGTATGTACATATAGAACAGGTGCATGTTCCGGTGTATGCAAATAATCTAATTCTTGTGTCATTTCAGAATGAATACTTAGAGTGTGTATGTGGGCCTTCAGACAGTTAGCTCACTGGCAATAGTTGCACAGCCTGGCTTGTTTCTCAGGGAAACTATGCGTTAGAATGTAGGGAGGTCACGCGCGCGCCACGTTTCCCACATTACTGAAGATCCTTGGTATATAGCCACACGCTACTTCGTTTTCGTGTGGTTTTGTCAAAAGTCACTGTTGATTGATTTTGCCATCTCCCCTCTTTCTCCACTTTTCTATTGTCTCTCTCTTCTCCTACTTTCCCTCTCCATTTTTCTCTTCCATTTATGCTCCGCTTCATTTCCTCATTCTATTCTTCGTGTCTATCTACCTTTTTCTTTCCCCTTACTCTGTTTTTCTAACACTCTCAATCCGTCTAAATCCCCCTCCACTCCCCCCACCCCACCTCACGAGTTATAGGGGGACGGAGAGGACGAACAGGTATGACTATTATTACACTCACACTACCGCATACAGTCGTACGTACTACTTGTTTTGTGAGACGAACACAGTAATGCACAAACACAGACTCACAGACGCGCACACAGGCCGCTGGTAATGGAAAACAAAACGCTTTCGTTCACACACTGCCTCAAATGCACTGTAATCACAAATTGTGCATGCTACACATGCCACCTGTTGTTTTTCCCCCCTTCCTTCGCAGCACATTTATTGTATAAATGATAGGGATGATAATACATTATACATGTACCAATACATCTCCATTACTCTCCATTGCAACACCTGATGGAGTTTGTGACGCGCGTGCACTCACTGAAAATGTGTTCTCTGTCGACATTAATCTCCACTTCTGAGTCGTGGGTCTGAGTGGTCTTTCGTGTGTCAGTCTCAACAGCTTTCTAGTCCAGTGCTTAGCTTAGCATGCACTATATACACCTCTGATGTCACTAGTGACAGACACGATCTTAGACACACACAGGCCACTGCGCTGTCAACATCACCCCCAACTGCACTACCTTGTACACCAATATCAATAGAGGTGCATGATTATGTGTAGAGCTCTATGTAATGTAAGGAGGTCAAGCAATACACATTCAATTGTATGTGGTTCTAATGTCTTGTGAACCCGCTGCGAGAGTATTTGCCTAAGAGGCAATTTGGTTCACAGGTGAATCTATCTACAGTAGAAGCAACCGTGGTGTCTACTGTAAGCTCTGTGCCAATGAGTTTGTACACATCTAGCTCGTATCTGATGCAGAGACATTTTAAACCTTCCTTACTCGGGGATTTTGCCACGTGTTTTCTAAATCAACGCTGTTGTTGACGAACCACTTAACTTTGTGTGGCCTGCGTCACTTTACGCTCGTATATTGTACACAACTGATTAAGAATGCATTGGACCCTTTGAGTAGTGTGTAAGCAATCGTCCTACGTGAATATACAGGACCCGGTTAAAACACTCCCTAGTCAGACTCAGTTGCTACACTGTAAAGTACGTGGAACGAAGTGAGCGTGAGAAAAAGAAGAGAAGCAGAGAGAGAGAGAGAGAGAGAGGGACACCTGTGATCCATTTCCCAGGAATGCCAAGTTTCATTCATTCCTCTCGTGTGTTGATGAGAGGTTGGAGCCCTCTGTGAGCATACAGAGGCCTCACATGGGCCGCGGTCCACCAGACTCTCAGTCTCTGCCCCACGACGAGGCAGGGATTCGTAATGAAGGCCGGAATCCTCTCTAGCATTGCTCCCATTCCACGCCGGTGTAATATTATGCCGCAACATATGTGTCAGTCAGGGGGGGTGGTCCAGATAGACCTGACTTTCAGGATTGGAGGGGAGATAGATTCCAATACAGTTAGACTTTTCCGCACATGACAACTGGTTATAATAGTATAGTGTTTGGTTTCTGTTGAAACCTGGGTGAACACCTGTTAAATAGGACGAAACCGAAATGTATTTATTAGCTTTCGGTGCAGCTTGCATTCTAGCAATAGCTTTTAGAAGAGAGAGCCGATGAGTCATAGTCACAGAACACGAGCCGGGAAGGAACCTACTTCTGTATGCAGTTGAACTTAAGTGGTGTGTCTGGAAGCCTAGTGGGCTAGCTGAGATAGAGCTACAGTCTTCTTATCTTATTCCCTCTGCAATTTTTCCTATCTGGCAACATGTCACCCAGTCATATTATATATTACTGTTAGAGAAATCGATGTGGGGCCATAATTAGGTGACATACTGTAGTTTGTTACTATTCCAGACTTGTTTAGCAATCGAAAGGGTGGTCTGGATACCAGAATTTCGCGTTCTGTGGATAAAATTACTGTGAGATTGTGTTGTGTAACTACTGGTCATGCAGAGCGCAAGGTGCACATGCATTGTGGCAACAAACTGCTACCGCTAGAATGCCAACTACACCAAAAGTGAAATAGATCGAGAAAAGAGATTTCCTGTATTTGTACTAATTCAGGTGTACACACCTACGCACTCTACACAGAAACTCTAAAACTCTAAAGTGTGATGTGAAAGTTGTGGTAGTTTTCCTGCACATATTCATTCTGCTTTTCTGTTGGTGGTTGAGATACGTATATACATGTGGGGCCACTAAATGCTGTTTTTTTGGACTGCATTTCACGGATTTCAAAGAATTGTGGGTGAGATTAGCCATGTACCCTGGTTGTTAATGCGTGGCGTTTGACAAGATAATGATATCCACTATGATGCATCGTTACATAATATGAGGGATATAGCCCAGGGAGATGGCTCTAAGTGTGATTGAAGACAAGCTGTGTTGGCCGATTCATTTCTGTGTGTCTGCAAGCAAATCAGTGGACTGTGACTACCACCAAAACATCGGCCAATGGCCGTTTCCTCCAGCCATCCCTCCACCTCACTAGCTCAGCATCCATTTGACTCGTTAGCTCGCACAACACTACTGCTAGTGCATGGCGGCATCCAATGTATACACACACAACTTCAGGGATTGAGTGACTCTCCTTAATAAATGTAAAAATTTTCCCAATTCCTGTTCTGATTGGTTGTTACACTCGAGTCGACCTGGAATTCCACACCGCATGCCTCGACTTGATGGGTGATGTCGGGTCTGAGACCACACGTGCTGCTATATAACTCCAGCTGCTGTTTGCAAAAGTCTATGCAATGATCTGGTCAGGAATGGCCCAAAAACCAACAAGATGCATGCTCTTTATCTGCCTAAGATTCTCTGTTTACTCCTTGTCCAGATAAGAGTTCATTAGATGTTATACGCTGGAACGCAATCTGTAACGTAACAGCTGTTACAGATTGCGTTCCAGCGTATAGTGGACATACCTTTAAACCACATCCTATGATAAGTCGGCCAGATAGTATATACCTAAACCATGGTTCTCCCTTGCACATGCTGAGGCATCTCTTGGAATTGCACGAAGTCTGAATTTGGCACTGCTCAATCTGCTTCCTGGAGAGGAACGTACATCTAGAGCATAACTCCTTGAGAATTAGCAATTGATACCCTTGACTGTATGAGCACGCACACACAAGAGTGGCCGCCAGTGAGAGAGTGCTAACATCTCCGCAGAGTATGACATAATCACTTGCACGTCTCTGTACCCATTGCCTCACACACAAGTCCACCTCATAGTGTCATCACTCGAGAAAGTGCTGCAATATTCTAAGGATTTCGCCACACAATCGCCTTGACTATAAATTAGGTGGTATTATACCTATACTTACACAGGCAAGGCTCGTGTGAAGCTGACTGCACTGTGGGAAGTCATTATTTTATCTTCAGTTTGATATATGAGATGGGGCAGACATGTAAATGAGAGCGTAAAGAGTCTGATATTGTCCTGGTATAAACGTCCACCTAAATAAACAGAAAACTAATACCTAAACATGCAGAGCTGCGAGCACTCATCAGAACTTGAAATAATATTCTCTTCAGGTTACAGGAATTCAGGGAGTCTTATTACTTTAATAGCAGTTCCTATTACATATAGGCAGCAATTGCTACCTAGTGTATCCATGTGTTAAGGGGAAATTCACTAACTTTAAGAAGCAATGACATGCATTGATTGCTACTTTAACGATCTCATGTGTAGGCATGTGTCTGGATATCATATTACCTCATTTTGAGAAAGCTTTTTAATTGCTACAGTATTTTTCACAAATTGTTTTCCTGTTTCCAGGAATTGGGCCAAGAGGAGGCAAGGCAGGAGGGAAGAAAAAGTGAACGTTTCCAAACACCGTTTCTCTCGTATAGTGTAACAACTACTCTCTGATCTTTTCGAGTCACGTTGTTTGTAACTTCGAACACTTTTTCATCGCTGTATTATAATATGGCATTTACTTGCTATGATTTTATGTGTACTATGTGGCACTGATGGTAAGATGAGCACCATGAGAATGCAGCCGCATACGTTACGATTCCGCATGGGAACGGAATGGAAGCTTCCTCATGTTTGAGAGTTCGGTTACGTTGCGCGGAAGTCCATTACTATGGGGGCGTGTGCTGTCACGTCCGTACGGAAATAGTTGCGCGTTGGTATAAAAGCGTTTGCATGCAGCGTGTAATATGCGGCAAACTTGCTCGGAAATGGCCACTCTCAAAGCGTTACTGATTTCACTCGTTTCTCTATACGTTTCTTCAGCTACCTCTATTGATCACTGCTCTGAAACACAGGTAAGATATCAAATTGACAGTAGATTTTAGCTGCATTATGCTTTATACTGCATAATATAGAATTCATATCTATGGAGAGTGGAAGTAACTCCTCCAGTCTATCTGTTTGGAACTCTCCACCTCCCCTACAACAGCGTGTGGGACACGATCCCCGAGAATGTAAAGCGGGCCTTCAGCTCCAGTAGAGACGTCCTCCTTGAGCTGCAGCTGTCCAGCTCCGAGACCACCAGGCACCTGGTGGAGTGCCAAATGCTGCCCAACGACCAAGACATTGCCGAAATTCTCCATCCTGAACTCGTGAAACGGGTCGACAACTACCTCAGGAGGATCCGCACGAGACTTCCCAGCTGGCTGAGTGAGTCTTCGCGATCCACTCTCATCAGAGGAGGTGTGAGTCTCAGCGAAAAGTTCTTTCGCGACGTGACGTACAACTGGAGACGCAAGAGGCCAGTGTGGATCCTCTCTCTCATTAGCACCCTGACCGAGGAGAATGTTGAGTCATGGGACACACCGGTGCTGGATCATTTCATGGACAATGCAGCCAGACGGCTCGGGAAGAACTTGACGGCCCTAGAGACTGTCAACGACCACTGTCAACCACTAAAGAAACTGGGAGATGTTGAAGTAAGTTGCTGCAGTAGATGTTGAGATAAAGAGCACAGTGTGTCTGATCGACAGACTGTTCTTGCAGCTAATAGAGGGACGTATCTAGTATACCCACACCATAGACAACTGGATTGCTAGGGTATTAGCTGTCCCAGTTGGGATTACCCTCTCTAAGGTTATTTCCTAGTCTGGCATCTCCTACTCGACACGTGCAACTCTGCCCTAACCTTTCCACTAAGTCTTTCCTGAAACCCACTCACTAAGTACACTCTACTAGAGGATATCAGCCCCAACTTGCTTGTTATTCTGCATTGTCAGCATGCAGAGGGCACCATACATCCTCTAGTCAGTCCAGAGTCTAGCTGACTGAACCAACTAGCTTTGCCTCACATCAATGCAAGCACCAGATATCCTGATCCACAGCTGCCCCCTCTCAACCCTGACTCTGTAGGTGGAGACAGCACTGAGGGTCCAACTGGACTACCTTGAGTCCCTACTGAATGGTCCACCTCCACCATGCAGAGAAATCTTGCAGCCTACAGGTAAGAGCCACACCGTACCCTAGTGACTCTTTATATGATTTTTGTCAGACTTGACCAATTGAAATGTAGAGCCGTGTCAGCAGCCCTTCATATGAGCACTAAGAATGCACACATAGCACATTAATAAGTCTGCTAAAAATCCCTGATTATACCCAACGTGCAAACTTGTAAGATTTTCGGTTGTTTGTAACTCATTCTGTGCGCAGGTGTGGTGACTTTGGGGCCCTGGTGGATTCCCAGCCCTTCCTTCCTCTGGCTCCATTCTCTGAGCTCACTAGTGCCATCAACGTGACAGAGAGTGACCTGGCCACTCTGCAAGGGGCAGAGACAATGCTCTACAACAAGCTTGCCACTCGCAGGAATCGCCGCATGACTAAAACCATCGAGAGTCTACTGACATGCCAAAGGAACCACTCCATCTTCATTGGCATTGGAGCAGGTATAGCTACGCTCACACTTACATTGACTGGTTTGTAATGTGGAAAGTATGGATTGATGTAGTTTTAACATAGCAAAGTAGGTCGATGTGTTAAATAGAGTTCTCAGAGGCCAACTTCAGCCTACACGGCACCCGCCTAAAATGGCAAAACAAATTTGCAAATAAAGACACGCTCACAAGAACACATGCCAATAAAACTGTAGAGACGAAGCTCCCGGTGGGTAATAATGTACATAGTTGGAATAGCTTTGCATTAGAACCATGAGCTCCTTGCGGTACTAGTGACACCCGATATGAACACACTGCAGGCGCCAAAAGGCTTCCTCAATACCTCGGTTACCTACTCTGTACTCTAGTGTGGGCTAGAAATTCCCAATGAACCTATGGGTAACTGTCAACATTTTGGGCATGAACGCACCGAGTCCTCCAGTGCATGAATGGGAGGCTGTAAAGGATTAAAGGCTGGAACAGTCGCCATACCAATTTAGCAGGGCAGGGTTGCCAAACACTGTAGAGCACGTCTACTTACCCTGCTGCGTGTTTCGCGAGCGAGGTTTTGAAAATACTCTTCACCTGCGAAGGCATTCTCTTGTTTGGTGCCTTGTGATTAGAGGGGCGTCACTGTTGATTCATGCAGCACACCTGATTGGAGCAAAGAGTGTAGTGGAAAGACTGGAGAAAAGAGGCTATGTCGTCCACCATGTGGGGACCTCCGAGACCATTGAAGGGTAAGTAGTGTATTACAAATCCCATTAATTTTTCAAATAATGAGGAAACCATATATATAAGTGACACTGTTGAGAATGCACCTTGCCCCATGTAATTACACACGTTCAAACTGACACCAACAGACCAAATAAAACTACCAGAAAGTGACAAAAACACCAAACATAGACTTGGTTTCCAGTGCAAATCCATGATGCAATCTCTCATGGTACTGTGAGGTAGAACCGAATCCTTATAACAAGATGCAGGTTTCTGCGGTCACTCTTCAAGCAGCTTCTTGGGATACTCCCCAAGGGGACACTAACTGAGCTTCAAAAGTGATTCCTTCCTACATAGCATCATCATTAAGTCAATTATACACTATGCAACAAATAGAACAGTTTCAGCAACATTTACAAGAGACTAAAAAACTAAGCAACTTGCTATCATACATCGGGTAACTTTGTCGATTGCAAATGCTAGCAGCAAAGTTGCCTTGCCTTGTGTATGATGGCCTTAAGCTCACCAGTCTGTTATTACTGACTCACACACCCTGGTATATATACTATGCAACAAGGTTAAGTAGTGTAACATGGCAAAACTGTCTCTTTCCGCTGCACACCTGACAGCGCATTCCGCTACACAACTGTTCACCACAAATTCAATAATGCACGAGGCCATACCTCTATTTGTGGAAAATATACGCCTTACGTCTACTCATAGCTATGTGCATAATCAGCATGTAGGTCCACGTACGTGCGCGAAACAACAAGTGGTATTTTACAACTAAGAATTCTGTGGACACGCTGCGCAACATTGCAGTCACAAACACTCGTGCTTTGGGTAGCTAATTCTGTACAACCCACACACTATTTGAAAGTGAGGAATAAAACTAATTTATACACACCATCAAAGAGTTAGTGAGTAGATTAATCAAACTAGCCTACTTATGCCTTACTTACACATGCTCGCCACCCACTTACTGTGGCAACTATACCCCCCCACACATGCTGTGGACCATCAAGCCATGAGAAACTCAAACAAACACCAAAAATGAGTCCCACAACATAACCCGCTACGTGCATTAAACATCTCCTGTGAAACGAAGCAGTTGAACCTCGGTCCGTTTGGGAAGGCTGACAAATTAGGCTTTGAAGCCCAGACCTGGGTGGGTCAGGTGAGGGGCAACTGAGGCCAAGTAGGGTAGGAAACCAAGCCCCGAAGAACTGCCAGTTTATCAGAGCCTTGAGTAGAGAAAATATTTACGCATCAACTATGGATTCCGTTTTAAGTGAACCTTGTGTATGGAACTTGAGTGGAGTTTAACATACACTGCCCCTATAAGATGATGAAAGTATTAGAAGTGTGAGGATTTGTAAGGCTGGTTGAAACATTGCAGACTACAAAGGGACCTATACTGCTAGTTTTAAAGTAACACACGCTAGCTCAAACATCACCACACATTTTTCAAAACAATGGAGCTGGTATAACATCCACAGCAACAAAACTCCAATAATTGCTCTTCTTTTTTAAACCCCCACCAACCCACCACCTCTGCAGACCCAACCTTCCCGGCAACATAGTGGCACTGGGGGACCCTGGTTCAGTGCCCCAGACCTCCTCCATCCTCACACTGCTCCAGAGGAGCGGGGAGGAGGGGACGTGAGACAGGTCACGTCATTCCCTCTCGGGAGACTCTCGTCCGACGAACTGCAAGAACTGATGGACTATTTCTTTGGAAGAGCGCAAGGCAGCAGGTGGGTCACCCCATCAGTATGTACTGCGAAACCTCTGAATAGGGGTGACATCAATGTGTTCATTCCACAGAGGTGTCCCTTATCCACAGGTTCCTAATATTGTTAGACTAAGCCTATAACTACTTGGTCACTCGTAAAAGATTGTATTTGTGTTAGAGCCCTATAGCCATGAAAATTTACACATAACAGTTGTGGTTAATGTCCAGTCATTAAAGTCGTGTTCTTGATGCTGTTTGCACTTGCTTGCCAAAACTTTCACCTGCCATAATTTCACTCCGGAATCCACCAAAAATGTCTAACAGGAATTTCAGTTTAACAGTAGCTTGTAAGTGGACTCACCTATGTGGCTAGGTACAGTAGACATCGTTAATGTTGCTTTGCTAAATCGTCAATTTCAGACGAATGGTGGTATTAAGTCGGGCGAATGATTAAGTTGCTAAGTTTCTGTTTTCCATCCCCACCCAGAAATAAAATTGTTACAGGCTGTTGTCAATGCAACGCAATAGGGTTGAGTAGAGGGCCAATTGTTAGCAATAGCTGCAGTGACATAATTATACTGGGGTGTGGTGCTCCTCCTAACACCCAAGAATGCCCATTGTCTAAAAATTCTCTAGCGCCAATCAATAAAACATTCATAATCACCCAAAGTGGCATCATTAGCCACAAACCATTAAACTAGGTAGTCACTGGTGTTTGTACACACATACACCTATTTAGGGAAAAGAATTTCCAATTACTTCCAGTGGGTAAGAAACAAGCCTCCACCGTAGGCAGGAAGTAGGCACAAACAGTTATGTGAACACAATTTAATTGCAAAACAATAAGGTTTACCCCGCAACTTATGCACAAATTCTAAAGACTCTTTGTTATCCAGATCATGCACACATTATCTTTTTCAAGCTGCCTAAAATTGACAACTTTTTTCTCGTTTGGTCTCTTTATATGCATACAGAAGAAGGAGAGCAGCAAACTACAGCCGTTCTCACGTGAGATAGACCAGGGGAGGCTGGATCAGTACATCTACTGGACAACAACTAGCCACCAATCACTCATCATCATCTGACCAATACTTTTCTCAAGACCTCTCGATAATATTTCACCAGCACACGTTATAATTCTTTGCCACTTTATTCTCTCGGTGGCAGTCTACCCTTTTTACATCAATCCCTTCATCATTATCTATATTATTCATCCATTATGGCCACCATATTACCCTCCCTGGCACATGTATCCCTAATCTTTCTACAGCATGTCTTATCAATATTATTTGTGAAGTCACAATATTCTGTATCAATCAACTCTATCATTGGATGTTTCAAACTGCTTTTGTCAGCCGCCCATAAACTTTCTAGAGAATAGAAAGCGGAACCATAGAGTCTGTAGAACAGATCTGAGGCAACTGAAATATTACTAAATGTCGATTTAGAGGCCACGAACCTGCCATACAACGTGTTGATATGAGAAAAAAGACAATAGGGTCACAAGATGTGCAACATATACGTACAGTGAATGAACGTTTGGTGCCACACTACCAGATTACATCGTCCTCAAAATCCTCTATCACGGTCTCCTCCTCCTCCGGGCCGTCCACCGGTCCCATTCCCACGTCCTGCGACACGGAACGGAACAGAGACCCGGCCCTAGCATCCTGCGATGGCCCAAGTCCGACAGAGGAAGACCCGCTGTCTTGAGTGAGAACAGTGTCTACATCTCTTTCTCCCAGCCTCTCCAGGTAACCCCTGTCATTATTAATACCAACAACCACAACATTACATGCAAATAATTATTACACTACAACAAATAAACCCACAGTGTCAAATTTTGCTGTTTTACATGTACTTGCAATAATGGTACGGGCAGATTTGTCTAAAAACTGTTCAAATCAGACAACTATATGGTTTTTTTGCTCGATGAATGGATAATGTAAACCCATTATTTTAGCTGTCCTTTAAGTTAAAATTTACCACAGCACTTGAATTCAAACACAGAATAATGATATGGTTGATACACAGACAGGAAAGCAAAACCACGGACTTATAGGTCTATAGTTGACTTACCTGATGTAGCTGTGAGAAAAGTGAGTTATAGATTGTAGCAAGGCTGCTTGGTCTAAAAAGGTAGTGCAAAAAAACATAACAGGTCAGCATTACAACTACGTACAACAAATTGATGCAGATTGTAAATTCAAAATTTTGGATACAGATCCTTTAACTACGCACTCTCAGTCACAAGACCCTACATAGCGTCACACGCCGCTGGCATTTGCACCTTACCTTGTACGTGACAAACACCTCTACCCAGATAATTAGTCTCCAAAGGTAATTCAATTTTAGTGTCGCAAACGTGGTGCTGTACAATCTGCACGGGCACATACTTGAAAAAATGGTGGACGATTAAGTAATTCTTGCGAAGTGTTAAGTAATGATGCCACGTCCGTCAGTCACAACAAACACAATTGTCTGGTCAGGTCTACCGAACGTCTTCTCACCCCCAGTGACCTCACTGATCCAGAACACTACTATATATACTGGCTTCAAATGATCAGAATGAGCTATAATAGTGAAATCTTCTGTTTCATATATAGTAGTATGAGTCCGAACTAGCACTAACAAACAGAGGGACAGAACATTTGGGCTATACACGAGCGGTACAACAGGCATGGCAGAGAAGGTCTTGTACTGCTAATGGGAGCTCAGCGTGTTATGTGTACATACGTGTCAAGTGCAGTTGTTTGCCTTTGCCTTGCGAACTTTTGTTGCAAATTTCAAGCTGCATTCCTGTGATTACTCTTGCGCAATACAAGGTGTATGTATGGAGAGACCTGGGTTTCTGAGGGGCATGTTGGTGAGGGCCAGATGAGGCAATATCTCAGTCTGTAGCTCCACTGGAGTCCACAGGTGAGCTGAACACACACACACAGACACATAGACACACACACAGACAAAGAACTCCAGTCATAATTTGTATGCCTCATATAGAAATTCTGTTAAATATCATTTTAATCAACAGAGTCACCAAGTCAGACAAAACGAGGAGACTAAAACCTCAATATTATCAGAAAGAGGAAACAACGGTCCACTATTTCCTCAATCTGGCTATAGCCATACAAAACGGGACTATTCCCGGAGAGTCGGGAGGCAAACTTACCGTGTGGCGACTGGCCCAGGTGGAGGAATAGTCTCTTGGCTGTTTGACATTTGTCACGATACTGGGGAATGAGGTATATACATGAAATAACAGTCTTTACCTAAAGGGGAGTTATACCCTCTTGCTTCATTCTACTATGTCTTACATACACGCATGCATATCCTGTCCTCTATGTACAGTTTTTTCTGAGAAGTAGTCTCTTATAGCCCTCATTTCCCTTTCTTTTTTACTTCTTGCATAAGCGTGTGCTATTCTATAGTTAGTACTTCCTTCCTCCCCACCCTTTTCTGGCGACTGGAAAGAATGTATATATGCACTTTATCTATAGGCTTTAGTGAGTCAAAGCTTCAAATGTTAGTTCTGAACTTTAATCCCTTGGCTTCATCATGTAAAACACTGGGAAACTTTCGAGGGAGACCAATACGAGTTACTGTGGACAATAAGGGTTAAATCTTTCGACTTTTAGCAAGTAAGTGAAGGAAAGTACAAGCCAACAAACTCTTAGAACACCTTGACTATAGATGTAGTGTGCAGTGCATTCATCGTTGGGAGTGAGTGAGTGTGGAAAAACGGGGTGGCCTAAATCTTTCGTACTTTTAGCAAGTAAGTGAAGGAAAGTACAAGTCAACAAACTTCTTAGAACACCTTGACTATAGATGTAGTGTGCAGTGCATTCATCATTGGGAGTGAGTGTGGAAAAACGGGGTGGCCTAAATCTTTCGTACTTTTAGCAAGTAAGTGAAGGAAAGTACAAGTCAACAAACCTCTTAGAACACCTTGACTATAGATGTAGTGTGCAGTGCATTCATCATTGGGAGTGAGTGTGGAAAAACGGGGTGGCCTAAATCTTTTGTACTTTTAGCAAGTAAGTGAAGGAAAGTACAAGTCAACAAACTTCTTAGAACACCTTGACTATAGATGTAGTGTGCAGTGCATTCATCATTGGGAGTGAGTGTGGAAAAACGGGGTGGCCTAAATCTTTCGTACTTTTAGCAAGTAAGTGAAGGAAAGTACAAGTCAACAAACTTCTTAGAACACCTTGACTATAGATGTAGTGTGCAGTGCATTCATCATTGGGAGTGAGTGTGGAAAAACGGGGTGGCCTAAATCTTTCGTACTTTTAGCAAGTAAGTGAAGGAAAGTACAAGTCAACAAACTTCTTAGAACACCTTGACTATAGATGTAGTGTGCAGTGCATTCATCATTGGGAGTGAGTGTGGAAAAACGGGGTGGCCTAAATCTTTCGTACTTTTAGCAAGTAAGTGAAGGAAAGTACAAGTCAACAAACTTCTTAGAACACCTTGACTATAGATGTAGTGTGCAGTGCATTCATCGTTGGGAGTGAGTGTGGAAAAACGGGGTGGCCTAAATCTTTCGTACTTTTAGCAAGTAAGTGAAGGAAAGTACAAGTCAACAAACTTCTTAGAACACCTTGACTATAGATGTAGTGTGCAGTGCATTCATCATTGGGAGTGAGTGTGGAAAAACGGGGTGGCCTAAATCTTTCGTACTTTTAGCAAGTAAGTGAAGGAAAGTACAAGTCAACAAACTTCTTAGAACACCTTGACTATAGATGTAGTGTGCAGTGCATTCATCATTGGGAGTGAGTGTGGAAAAACGGGGTGGCCTAAATCTTTTGTACTTTTAGCAAGTAAGTGAAGGAAAGTACAAGTCAACAAACTTCTTAGAACACCTTGACTATAGATGTAGTGTGCAGTGCATTCATCATTGGGAGTGAGTGTGGAAAAACGGGGTGGCCTAAATCTTTTCGTACTTTTAGCAAGTAAGTGAAGGAAAGTACAAGTCAACAAACTTCTTAGAACACCTTGACTATAGATGTAGTGTGCAGTGCATTCATCATTGGGAGTGAGTGTGGAAAAACGGGGTGGCCTAAATCTTTCGTACTTTTAGCAAGTAAGTGAAGGAAAGTACAAGTCAACAAACTTCTTAGAACACCTTGACTATAGATGTAGTGTGCAGTGCATTCATCATTGGGAGTGAGTGTGGAAAAACGGGGTGGCCTAAATCTTTCGTACTTTTAGCAAGTAAGTGAAGGAAAGTACAAGTCAACAAACTTCTTAGAACACCTTGACTATAGATGTAGTGTGCAGTGCATTCATCATTGGGAGTGAGTGTGGAAAAACGGGGTGGCCTAAATCTTTCGTACTTTTAGCAAGTAAGTGAAGGAAAGTACAAGTCAACAAACTTCTTAGAACACCTTGACTATAGATGTAGTGTGCAGTGCATTCATCATTGGGAGTGAGTGTGGAAAAACGGGGTGGCCTAAATCTTTCGTACTTTTAGCAAGTAAGTGAAGGAAAGTACAAGTCAACAAACTTCTTAGAACACCTTGACTATAGATGTAGTGTGCAGTGCATTCATCATTGGGAGTGAGTGTGGAAAAACGGGGTGGCCTAAATCTTTCGTACTTTTAGCAAGTAAGTGAAGGAAAGTACAAGTCAACAAACCTCTTAGAACACCTTGACTATAGATGTAGTGTGCAGTGCATTCGTCATTGGGAGTGAGTGTGGAAAATCAGGGTGGCCTAAATCTTTCGCACTTTAAAATACTACCTGACTACCCATGTTGACTAGTGGTGAGGATTATGCACTTTCAAGTGCTTTCATTAACCCTCAACATGTTACAGTTGGTGGTCCGAGTGCCTATCCGTCTGTCTGTTAAAACAAGCGAAAACACCAATATGCATAATCGCACTGTATATACCTTGGAGGCATAAGTCACATTAGAGGGTGTGTATTGATACACGCATGCTATCTAGCCTCTGTTGGACTCTCCGCAAGCTTCTAGCAGGAGACCACGAGTACAAATGTGCAGTGCATTGTTCATTTAGAGTGACTGTGAAATGAGGTGGCCTAAATCTTTCGTACTTTTAGCAAGTAAGTGAGGGACAATACATCTTGTATACCTTGACTGTGGCTGGACTGTGCAGTGCAATCAGAAAAGGAATGTCAACATACTGTTCGGTTAACAGAGATCCACTGGGGCTTGTGTAGAGGTCTCCATTTGTTGCTCCCTCCACCTCCACCCCCTCCTCCCTCAGCAGCAGTATATTCAGAGGAATGGAGGAGACCTCGACAAGCTAGACTGCAGGAGGCTGCCAGGAGTGAGGCTCGCGCTGACTGGTCGAGGAGAGAGTGAAAGAACTCATATCATCATAAAGCATGCACATACAGAAGTATATAGTCTGCTCAGGGTTAAAGTTAACGTATCTAACAGAATTGATGAACAATAGAATATGTGTATATATAATAATATATACACACTTGAGAGTCGGTCCAGAATGTGGACATCACATCTGATCCACTGAGATACTCACTCCCTCGAACCTGCAACAACCATTGGAGTTGATGTTATTAACCAGGAGTCTACTGAACATTCTTTAACACTTAACCAGCCACGGACACATAAATATGTCCAGAGCTTCCATATGTCCATAAGAATTTATATGGGGTCAATCATAATACTAGGCGCTAATACTTTATACATCAATTTCTGCTTATTTAAGGAGATACCCATGGCATCCAAAGGGTTGTTAAGTGTCTGTTTAGAGTATAAAGGTTTAGAGTGTAAAGGAGGAGCAATGCCTCTCGATGGATATAATGCTTGTAGGTTCACTTTGCTCACCATAGAGACGGTGTGCACATGCATAACATACACACAGACTCACAATGTTGTCAATGTCGCTGTGCATGTGGAGGTAGTTCTGGTGTAGATAGAGAACGAACATCTCCGGACTGAGGTGACTGTGTTCTACAACCCACTGTCAACATGTGCACACAATTATAAAATACTTGAATGTCAGGCCAAAAATACTCGGGGAGATATAAATTTTAGCTGGTTTGTACCTCCGGGTCCACAAGAAGACGTGGTCTCTGGTGATGGCGGAGGTGAGGAGGCAGAGCTACTGCAGACCCACGAGGGCCCCCCTCCCCTTCTCCCTCTCCCCCCTCTCTGTCTGAGGTGGTCTCTCTCTTGCAGTAGAGGATCTTCCCGAGGGCTCGGAACAGGAAGATAGAGTTGTCCCGACCGCCAATGGCTGCCAGGGAACCTCCATCTGACCAGGAATACTCAACAACCTTATGCTCATGGTCGTCAAGAAGAGTACATACCCGCGTCATGGGCTCATTACCACAGTTACAGAGTATACACGACTAGATACTGTATTGCAGTTCATGTGTAGTACAAAGCTGCACACAGTTTTATTTTCATAAGCCAATAGAACACAGACTAAACCATAACGCTGAGCCATAAAAAGCAGGCTCTTTGGTACGGGAAAATTATACTTGAAGTACAAATGGTTTGTGTGGAACGAAACTCATATTTTGGAAATCCAAAAAATAGCGCAGTATAAAAAACTGCGGACAAGAGGTGTCTTTTTCAAAGGTTTGGAGAAGGTTGTGCATGCGGCACATGAGAACGTACTTCTATTTTCCTAAATGGAAATCAAAATGAGCAAAATGAACCCACTATATGGTAATTCACGGCACACAAAGGGTTAAAAAGGAGCGGACCGGAGGAGGTGTGTCTCCTCATCTTGGTGGTACTGGAGGAGGAGCCAGATTTGGTCCGTTTGAGTCTTCCTGACTTCTGACCTTTCAACACCTCCACTCCTCCCTCACCTGAAAAAGCAACATCAACACATAATATACTGGAGAGCAACATTCATTGTGTGATGGGGTTGGGGGTGTCAGCGTGCTCAAATCTGTTCATTAACCATGCTTCATGTATCCCATCCCTATCTTGTCTCCCTTTCTTTTTATACCATCCCTATATGCTTCTTTTTTAAATTCACAGGATTTTTAATTTACTTGTCACAGTAAGATTACCAGTGCGACAGGTGAACTGAAGAGCGTTGATAGCACTCCTGATGTCCCCAACTGAGCTCTCCGCCAGTCGCTCAATGACCTCTCGAGGAGGGAGCTGGTACCTCTGCAGCCCTCTTCTGTCCCGTGCTGCTGCTGCTCCTGTCGATGATGAGGTTTTGGTGCACTCTGAGTCGGCTATTCTCTGCAGGGTCTTGACTAGAGCTGTGTGGGCCACTGGGTTGAAACTGGGAGAATGGAGGAGGGAGGGGGGAGGGATGAGAGAGAGAGGAGGAGAGGAGGAAGGGGTGAGAGAGAGGAGGAGTATATAGAGGAGGGAGGGATGACAGAAAGGGGGAAGGAGGTAGAGAATGACAGAGGGAGACAAGGACTCCCTCATGTTGTATCATTGCAAAATGTTTTCATACAACCATATATATATATACTGGAAGGGAAATGAGAAAGAAAGTGTGAGACAGAGAAAGGAAAACCATTGGTACATACTAGCATTAGTCCCCAGTACATAGTGAGTCTGTCAGAACCTTATGGTATGGACGTTGTCGAGAGGGTTGTGTGACTTTGAGAAGAGGCTGTGAGCGGAAGAGTCTCTCTGGTGACTGTCGCTGACTATGAACACCAGAGGATGGTGGAGGGAGGGACCCAGGGACCTGCAGATTACGTCATGGAGAATAACTTTTTGGAGAGAAAAAATAGGGAGATAGATATCTGACAACTCGCCTTATAATCTCGTGAAACTTGCGTGGATCCCTCAGAAATGCGTTTGGAAAGTCCTGCAATCACGGATAAACGTTAAACTTGGTTGGTTAAACTGTGATGCTATCACAATTTCACTGGCATAATATAATCGATAGTGTGAATTAGAAGTAGTTTCCCATTCGAGGTATGAATGCGCATGCTCCCAGTGTAATTTCCAATGCAGTCTCCTAATATAATTCCAAGATAAAATAATGTTCGGCCCAAAAAGCTGCCACTCAGTACTAGTAACTCACTTCCACAATGACAATCTTCTTCCCAGGACCACACCCACTGGTAGCCACGCCCAACTGCAGGGTGGGGTAGCGATTTGCTCTGACCAGGAAACTGTGAAACAGTCTCGTTTGAGACTCTGAGTACACGACAAGGTCTCCTGGCTGGGGTTCTGATGGGGTGCAGGGGGAGGGAGAGAGGGAGAGAGAGGGGGAAGGAGAGAGAGGGAGAGAGAGAAAGAGGGAGGAGAGAGAGAGGGAGGAAGCAGAGAGAGGAGTGGGAGAGAGGGAGAGAGGAGAGAAGAGAGAAAGAGAAGAGAGAAAGAGGAGAGGTAGAGAGAGAGAGAGGGAGAGAGGGTGTAATGAAGGTCCAGACCTCCAGTGACATTGCATTTTCAGTAAAACAGTGTCAGATGTAATGGGGGTCCAGACATTACATTCGTGTACAGCACTGGCTTTGATTTTCGAAATATTTCTGTAAACAGTGCCAGATGTACGGAAATCAAGGTGAAATAATCATTCTCACATTCGGGAACAAATTAACTCGCCTGCTTCACTCCCACCAACATCAGTGACTGGGTTGGCCCATTCGAGGATGGTGCAGCCCATATCCCGAGCCAGAGTGTTTACCGTTGTCGTCTTCCCGCATCCGGGAGGACCTACCAGCAGTAGCATCAGCTGACCAGCTGTCCGATGAGGCTAACAACGAGACGAGATTATAGGGGCACACATCATAAAGACACTCACCGTGGATAGCGCAAACTCTAGCCATTGCTGGACTTCTGCAACCTTCTTCTTGTGGACTGCAAGATCACTCTGTGTGTGTGTGTGTGTGTGTGTGTGGGCATGAATTACTGAATGTGAATTTCGCGGTTAATTAGCCATCCGCAAAGCAAATTATGTAGGCCAGGACATTTGTATTGGTGGAAAAATCGGTAAAGGTTCGAAATTTCTCGTTTGGTCCCGAAATGGGAAATTCTTCTCCTTCGAAAGTCTCCACTATATGATACAGTATGTAGATGGATTGTAAAAGGCAGAAGGAATGAGAGAGAACACTCCATTCAACCTACCACTGAGACTGGTGAGTGTTTTTGACACCACGGCATGTCTGAATCCTCCACCGAGAAACCTGTGGCTACAGAATTATGAATCAGAACTAGAGCTATCCACGTTCAATTGACAGAAAAAACGTGTGCACCTGTATCTGTATTCTGAGCTGCACTCCGCTTCTCCTGCCGCCCGGTCGTTCTCTTGCTGGTAAAATCACCTCCTCCTCTGCTCACCTCTCCGTGGGAAAAGCCGCTAGCGGTAGTAGAGAGCGGAGGCTTTTTCAGAGCAGAGCTCATCCAGTTCGATATGCTCTGAGATGGGGCAAGTATTTTCCAATTAGTGCGCAGCACAGCAAGTATGGACGCACGTACGCAAACCTTGTTCTTCTTCATGGCTGCTGTGTAGGTGTTCAGAGACGAGCATCATCATCATCACCCACATTTCAGCTCCTCACAGAACGGCTGCTGCACGCAAAAAAATATGCGCATGCGCGCGTGGATTAATGTGCGTCGCACGTACGTACGCGAAACTGGTGCGCACTCCAACGTGTATTACGTATCAACGTACGTCCCCACATCGCCGTCGCGTCATAACAACGGTGAACGTACCGCGCGCGCGCGCGGTGGAAAGCCGGCTCACGTGCGCAGCAAAGTCCGCGCGCCGCGCCGGGCCATGCCGGCCGCCGTGAGCTCAGCTCTCTAGCTCTCTAGTTTGGGACTATATAGACTGAGCGCGCAAATCGATAAGAGAACAAAAACTGTATAAGAAACTCCCTCATGGGTAAGCAAATTGCCTATAAAAAGGAAAATGACAGTTGCTACTGGTATAGAAACAAATTTCGATGGAGAAATCTGCCGCAATCTCACTAGTACTACTAGCTGCGGCACTAGCGCTGCAAGCGAACTCCGCACCAGTAAGAGGATGCAAACACGACAAAGACTCGTTGAAACCTCCGACGAGCGACGAGTGTGAATATCAATCGCTGAACAAAGAAGGGCTGATCGACGACATCGTGAATGCCTGCGACATAATCATTGACAACTCTTCGGATATTCATGAAAACCTACTTGGAGCTAAGAGTGTAAGTTAAATGTACTGCTATATAGCAAGCATAATTATTCACCATCGTTGCTTTGACGCGCAGTGGGCGACGGTAGGGTTGTACACTAATTCGATCTACCCCAACGGACACATGTTGATATCAGATGTGCACTATAACTTGGCGGCCAGCGTATCTATTTTCCAAACGTTCCTGCGGCCGCTGGGGCTCGCACTGACAGAGGAAGCTGTGCGCGACGTTGTGCGCAGGGAGAGAAACACAGTTTACAGAGAGCTCTACGACGTCTTCAGCAGCGTCGCTACCGCGGCGAACAAGACATACCAACTCGTAAGTCAAGACACAGATTCCAAAGCGTGATGGCAATGTTCTGGTACCAATGTTCTTGCTGAATGCAGGTCAAGAGTGACACTAATATCCATGGATGCATCGTGCCGCATCTTCCAGCCAATCTGAACGCTACACTCCGACCCTTCCATCTGGATAAAGTAAGTGAATCAGATCATAGTTTCATCACAGAACCTCCACGTCAATTTACTGTAGCTATATATATAGCTACCACATCTAATGGTTTTCTGTCACTCTCTATACAGGACTCGATTCCAAAGCACACACTGATAGTAGATGGACTAATGAATGAGCTCCAGCTTTTATCCATGGGTGTCAGGCTTCTCCTACTCTGCATGAAGAGGGAAACTGGAAGCTGCAATTTTTAGTGATCACCCATTTTTCCCGATATACCATGATTCACTTGTTACGTAGTTTGTGACAAAAGATCAATCTTTATTCACTAGTATTTATTTTATTGTCAGAGATGTATATTTATATCAGAGAGATTTTTTTTATCTATTAATGAGATTTTATACTGTGTATTTTTACAATCAAAATGCTATAAGCTGATGAATGTTTTCATGCAGTTGAACATTTAGGGAGCAGTATATACAAACTCTTGCTAGTTTATTGCTGCAAGTATAGTCCAAGTTTTCTGTAATGCAACATTTGCGTTAACGTGCAATATGCAAGGGACTAGTTATGTACAGAATGAGACATTTCATGCTATTTTGATGCTTTTAGTCTGGTCCCATTATGCACAAAACCCGTCTCGGTATATAGCATCAGCTTATTTTGATGCTATGTTAGTGTGGTGATTACACATTGATGTGTAAGAGCTGCTTTTCTTGATGATTTTGAGCGTGGCACTGTTATATAACTATAAGTTATCCACAGAATGAAACATTTCGTGCTATTTGATGCTATGTTAGTGTGGTGATTACACATTGATGTGTAAGAGCTGCTTTTCTTGATGATTTTGAGCGTGGCACTGTTATATAACTATAAGTTATCCACAGAATGAAACATTTCGTGCTATTTGATGCTATGTTAGTGTGGTGATTACACATTGATGTGTAAGAGCTGCTTTTCTTGATGATTTTGAGCGTGGCACTGTTATACCTTTTATGGCTTCAGCTTTTGTTAAGTTGTCAAGTAGTGTTTAAAAACTTGATGAACTGCTATATATAAACATTCTACAATACATCTCACCATAAATATAAAAAAAACCTCAATCTCACAATGAATAAAAGCTCTAAGCATTATAGAATGGTATGGACATTATATTATCATGTATTCATGGAAGGTGCTATCTTCTCTGTGGCAATGTTTTTCAGTTGCGATCAAACAAGCAATCGAGTGCAAGGTCGATATCGATGACAAGTTTTTGGAGCTCATTGGCAAGTCCATCAACAACCATGTCCCTGTAGTAAGCATCTCTCACCTAAGGAAGATTTAGAATGGAGTCAGTGTTTCAGGGATGTCTGTCTGTTGTGACTTACTTGTGGTGGAGGGGTGGGGTTGAGAACAGTGTTAGTGTCAGCCAGAGGAAGACCAGGAAAAACACACTGATGAATGCTTGAATTACCCTTCACCTGGATTGTTACAATCACCCACAAGATGAAAGGATTACCGCTTCCTTAGTTTTGACACATTATCTTACCAAGGTATAGACGTCTTTCGTGAGGGTGGCCAACTTTCCGTGGATGGTCAAAAACGTGTTGGAGAATCCTGCCTGGCGCTCAATCACTTCACGAACAGTCTCGTTGGTGAGGGCATCGCCAATTGGCCTCAGAAACATCTGGAGGCGGGAGACACTGTAGGCGATGGCGTAACCATACTCAGATCGACGAGCCGAGCAGTCAGAGATGCTACTGTCCAATATTCCTGCGTTACTGTCATACACTCCAACAGTGGCTCTCTATAGCAAAAAGTTTGGAAGCATTATTATATAGAGTGCCTATACCGCTGAGAGATTGAACGTACGTACCAATTGCCACCCGGACACGCGCACTTCTTGAAGTGTCGTTTCCAATCCGGCGAGCAAGCTGTTGATATTTGATATTAGGGTCTCCCGGTCAATGGCGCTCAGTTCCCGGTCGCAGCCGTCTCCGCTTCCGCTGGCGCTCCCGCTGCTGCTACCCGAGCGGCTTGAGCCCGTTTCAGTGGCGGAGCTCGAGCGTCGTGTGACGGGCAGTGCGGACGAATGGGGCAGCAATGCAAACGCAAATACTGCGGCAACGACGGCGCATGTGAAGTCTTTCATCATTGAAGTTTCCTGAAGATTGAGAATGGTTGGGTTTCTCAGTTTTTGAGTTTGAAGATTGGCGAGTTTGCTGTGCAGTTTCTGACATCTTCATTTCCCTGCGTCCCTTTTTATAGCCAATTTGCACGGATAAGCTGAGCGAAGTTTTTCTGTTGGTGGGACTTTTTTCCACCATGAAAATTACAAAATTAGGTGTGATTTGCTGTGATGGCCATCACCATGCAAGCTTTAGAGTCTGTTGTCGAGTTTCGATACCGGTATGCGCAGTATAGTACGTAAACGATCATTGCGCATGCGCATGCGCTCGCGTCATCGCGTGCATTGCGCGGCCGATAAAAAGTGTGCGATTGTGATGGTTATACTGCAGTGCAGGATGATAATACACACGATAATGTATATATATATATATATATATATGACAAACAGATACTGAGCAGCCTATTGCACTGTACTGACTGCACATGTGCAGAAGACATAATAAAGAGATCCGAGAACAATGTTTACAAAATCACAAAACCAAGAAAAATAAAGCAAAATGTATGTGCCTGTCTGTACGCGTATGATTCAGAGTATATTAGACAGTTTCTTTCTTGTGCTCTGCATACACAGTAGTGGTCGCGTAGTGGAGATCTGGAGCTGTTGAATCTTGCATGTTCAGGTAGTTATCCATTAAATCAAAACTGTATGCATGTGTGCGTGTGGTGTGTGCGTGTGTACACATGTGGGTGTGAGATGGGGAGGAGCCAGGGTCCAATGTTTAATCCACACACACACACACACAGTCTGATAAGCAAGGCATGCGATGTGACAGGTTGTACTTTCAGAAACTGTATCAAGTATGCTGCCAAATGGTAGCTATATACAATCCTGTATAGGAGGATTTGTAAGAAAATGTATTTTGCCACAACCTCCCAGTTTGATTGGTACACTTGAACTCGTAAAAGCAAGTGCAGATGTGGAAATGGTACTAATGGTGAACCAAGTATTGTATACAACTCCAGTCATTTTCAGAATTCCGATTTTGGCCCCACTTACACTTGTCCAGGTTGAAGGGTGACCTTTTTCTTTCCTATCTTCCCGTGCTGGATGATAAAGTCTTCGTAGCGCTTGCTCTTCTTCCAAATGTAATAGAATTCCACCAGTTCTTTTACTGACCTCGATGGCACCTGAACGCATTATGCACAAAACCTGTGCTACAACAGACAGTGCATTTCCTATCAAATGTGCACATATAGCGCACACAATCCCCATACTACCACACTCAGTGATGGTAATAAAGATACGTACCATTTTTCTCAATTGAAAAAAGTCTTTTCCAGACACCCTAAGGCCTGCACCGAAAAATAAAAAAACTTGGCTAAAAATAGCACAGGAAATGAAATAATATTCCTCCACCCACCAACTAAGGGCAACAGCCATGTAGCTGGGCTATGAATTGATTTACCCACTCCATTTCATGAAGTCATGAATACCCCACCATGAGTTGTTCAGTGGAACTAGACCACTATTCCTAACGCTGCAATTGAAATCCACACCGGATGCCTGTCCTCCGTCCCAACATTCTCAGAATAAAAGCCAGAGCAACTATGTAGCTATGTAGCTATGTATAATATACTAGAATACAGAGTAAACCTGGTATGTACACGAAGCAGTGTGGTTGCAAGGGCGAACTCTAAAATCAGAGTCACTGTGCAAGTGGCACAGAATAAGGTGGGAGCATTGTATGGCACAGCTGAAATCGCACGTTTCAGTTCAGTGAGGTAATCATTAATAATTATTCAGGAAGTGACCTAGCTGGAAGGCTAAGTGAGTAGGACGCCTGCCTACACATCATGTGTGGCGGTGTGGGTTAACACATACCTCAGTAGTAGTTTTGAATGACATCACCTATTGAATGTAGTTTTATGGGCTATCCACTTAGCCAGAGGTCAGTTGCTCAGACACTCAGCACTGCTTGTCTTAGTTGGGTTGTATTATACATAAAGCATGACCACAGAACAGTTGTTCATGGGTCTCTGAAGAATTTACTTAGTTAATGGTAAGAACCGACAACTAGACTTATATACAACCAGCTAAATATCAGTGTCTGCTACTTTTTCATCCGCCAATTTACTGTATTAAGGCAATTATGATCATCAGTGTATACACCAGTTTATAAAGTATAACAATTCCAGGTGTTTCACTCTACCATTTTTACTTTCATTTCCAGGGGTGCACACATTTTACCCCATGACACTACCGAGATGCAATGCTTGAGAGAAAAGTATTATTATTATTATTATGTGGCTCTGAAACCTTGTAGCAGAGGCGAGCAAGGGAGAAGGGAGGGAAGAGATAGCTTCACACACACAACGTAACGGCAAAGAAGGGGCCACAGCCCAAAGGAGGGAAGCAGGGACTAAGGCACAAGGTAACAGGGATGCTTCCTAAACGCTTTCATTTTGGGGAAAGTGCTAGTAAACTGCTGCCACAGGGGAGCCCAAAGACCTGCCCTCCACTTTTCATCACCCACGCCCGTTTTCCCCCAGGAGCTCTTTGTCTTACAGCTCTGTATGCGTGCCCTCTTCAAACTCCTCTCCAAGGCTACTATGTTTCATTGGAAAGTAAACAGAATGTAAGTTGGTAGTTTGTACACATGTCTGTCGTCCCTTACTCTACCGCTGGTTTTGCAGCCAAGGAGAGAGGGGGGGAAAGGTTTCACGATGTTGAAAGTACTTAGTGTCTGACCTTAGAAATGCAATTTAGAAACACAAAGTGAGTAGATACTTTCGCTGCTAGATCACGAGTCAAAGAACAGCAGGACACACTTTATACACGCATTACGTCCACGACAAAGCGTAAAAATGACAGAAAATTGCACCTATTACCGGATGGATTGCAAATTGGTGCAAACGGATTCAAAAACACGCAACAGATCGAGCGATTCCCCCCCTATCTTTTGTCGGGACTTGCGTCTATTTTCCAACCGCAACAACAGAGGGGAACGAAGTTGCACAACACTGAGTAGTAACAGCGGGGCTACCGAGAATCGCTACCGTCGCAATACACCTGCTAATAGGCCACGCAAACTGTGGAGTCTTCACACACAACATATTTACTACACGCGGCGCTAACGGTGTACGTATGCATTGCAGACCTTCTTCAAATTCGCTGCACTCTTCTTCACTCCACTGCCTTGTACCTGCACACACATAGAGAGAGAGAGAGAGACACGCACACACCGCAGACTATTAGACTCATGTAAACATTTGGGCACACAAGATGAACAGGATAGCTGGAACACGTCCCTATATTTTTCATTACTTTGCACACAGACTAAAACATGTTCAAGTTAGTGGTTTGGTCGTTTACATAGGCACAAGTGTATTTCTAGCTCTCTCACACACACACACCAGTATTTAAGGGTGCCTGGTATTATTAATGTGCGTAACTAATGTGTTGCCCAATGACGGCTGGGGTCTTACCTGTCGGTAGACCTTGTTCCTGCACTACATCTACTGCCCTCTGAACGTTGTGGTCACACTCTTGCAACAATTTCATGGCCTGTGCAGAGATGATAGAGTAAAGGGGAAATGCTTCATCTCTCCCATGATGATGGAGTAAAGCAGTGTATCAGAACAATCGCTTCTCTCCCAACTGACGTACCAGCAGCCATATAGAAACAAAATACGCCTCCCATTAATTAAGATAGTGCACACTTGGCCATGAAATGATACGCATGCCAAGGATCATTGTTGCGTGGGTGTGTGTTTGCTATGGTGGGACGCTCCCCTTGGACTACAAAGTGCTTCCGGAGTTGCTTCCCTGTGATTCAGCACTGCGAGATTCACTGGCAATATTATGATAAGCAGACTCGACAGAAAAACACTAAGTGTAGCTTCTTCGTAGCGTCACTAATAGCCCCTCCTCCCACGCTCATAATACACGGTGCACTGTCACATATGTTTCCCTGCGGCTACTAACAAGCAATGTTATAAGCAAACTTGACAGAAAAACATCAAGTGTCACTTCTTTGTAGCCCCTCCTTCCTCCCCTCCCTCTCCCTTCCCATGCTCACAATACGCAGTGCGCCGTCACGAACTTTCCCCCTGCGTGTCCCTGCGTGTCCCTGCGATCCCCCCCTGACTCACTCTGACTGACTCACAGTCAGCTATACCACCACCAAGTACACTATTTATATTGGAAGGGGATTACCTACGGGGAAGTCCCACACCCTATTCACACACCAAGGGAAATTCCAATAATAGAAAAGAATGCGATTCACACTATTGGGTGTTACCCTATTAACTTACACCAGAGAACACAAGATGTGTCACAACTTTACACAGATCGAACTGCAATAACATATAGTTTGCTATGCATGCAGAGCTCTTGAGTAAACCCCTTTAATTAGCGACGTGGGGACGGATGTCTGCCGGGGAAGATGAGGAAACGAGAGACGTGTTTATTGCAACAATGACTCTGCTCTCTCTCGGAGTTTGGAAACTTGTCCACAGAGTATTTCAGTTTACAATCGTGTGAACAGAGAGTGTAGACGTTTTTCCAGACATGGCAACAGGAACTAGCGCTCGCCACAGTCAGTCAGTGCATGAATATTACTATAGAGCTAGCGTTCAAAATTCACATATACTGCAGAGTGACAGAGTAAACCAAGTGTGCATATTCACAGTCAGTTTTGAATATTCAAATATATTTGAGCTAAGGGTTTAGATAAGGTCTTCCCTATTAAAGGTCACCGGTTTGTGATCACATATAAATAGTTACCTCTTCCGTTTTGCAGGTGAACGGCGTACCACAACTGACTGACTGACCTGTTCAGTCTCCCAACTGTTAATGCCTGAATCGGGTTTCACCACTGTCGATACCGTCTTCAGATATGACACCACTGCAGTGAACAATATTGCACAATTGTACATGCACCAACTGGTTAGTAATGGTGCACTGCATAAGGACAGTGAACTTCATTAAGTGTTCCGTACAGTTGAACCCCCTTCATTACACTCTATTACACAGACACCAATGGGACAGGAAAAGTGTCTGCTAGAGAGGTGCCCTTCAAAACACGACATACATACTCACTCGTCAATGCAAACGTTCAGCAAAGTATAGAGGAAGGTGAACTACCACCTATCTCTTCTGGGAGTGTATACTTTTCAACTTTGTAAACGGAATGCTTTGATGTTATAAAATTTCCCGGACTTCTGCAGTGCATGGCTATATTATCATTATACAGACTAGCCTGCGCATCAGAGGTGTTTATATATACAATACAGTACATCAGGAATTTTTCAGGTTTATAAACTACAGGCCAACTGTGAGAGTTTGCAAAGGGACCATTTGTACAGATAGACCAAGCAGTTTATTATTTGCCCTTTGGCAGAAAGTTTATGTTTCCACTGCTAAAAATATACCTCTGTCTTCAGGTGAGCGAGGTCTCCATAGCAGACTGTCACCAGGAGTGTCCCTCTGTTGAGAGTAGGGCTCCTGTGACGAGACATTTGCCACCTCCACCTGGTAGCTAGGGCCTACTCGAATCTCCTGGATACAGAATTAGAAAAAAGATGAAGCAATGGTGCATTGTGGTATTCATGCATTGTCTCTCACGTAAACGCTACTGTATCTCCTCCTTCTCCGCGCCGACATCGCTGGAACGCCGACGCTAGCGAAACGCCGACGCTATCGAAACGCCGACGCTAGAGCGACGCGCGCGACAATGCGACACACGACGCGCGCGCTCGATACGCGCATGCGCGTAGGGACGCGAATGAATGCGCATGCGTGTAAATAGCGCGCGCGAGCGCGCATGGAAACGGATGGTGCCGTTGCTGGCGAGTGCAACACTCACCAAACCAAGGAGCAAGACCTACCTGTTTCCATTCTTCCACTGGAAAATACTCATCGTCCCCTTCATCGTCATCGAAAAATGCCGAAAAATACGAGTCTACTTTCTCGTCATTGGCCATGAGTCGCATGCTGCGTCTCTCAGGTAGCTCTGGGCGCAGGCGAGACTTGAGGTCAGAATGAGGAGGGAACGCTCGGGAGCCTCCACTGACTGAGGAGGAGGCGGAGGAGAAGGAGGAGGTTTGTAGTGAGGTGGAGGAGGGGGTGTGGGACTGGACATCACTCGACGATTGGGGGTCTGCAGAGAAGTGGTATATACATTCAGTAACTCGGTGAAAAAAACTGCAAGATAATTCCCCACACGTGTGGACATTAATGGTGCGTACAGTGCAATAGGGAGAAATTTAACTGATAATTAGAAGACGCGCAGTTGAACTCCTGATAAACATTCGCTAAATTTCAAAATGGAGAAGTACATATATTTTATCTTCGTCTAATCCAATTACAGCAAGTTTATTGCACAGGAGGCAGACCTGAACTGTAGCCGTCTGTGAGTCTTGGGCTCCTCTCCAGCGGGTCTCTCTCCCTCTCTCCTCCTCCAGATAGTCTACTCTCTCTTTCCCTAACCTCACTCCCTCCTCCCCTCCCCACACCCTCACCCACCCTCCCGGCAGGCAGCATGGGATCGCCCGACAGCAGATGACCTCCTACAGTCAGAAACACTGATCCCCCAGGTGACAAAGAACCGCCAACCTCACCATCTGACAACATAGATCCATCCGCTATTACTCCTAGTGGAGTGTTCTCTATAGCAGTTTCCAATGGGGCAACAGTCATTGCAGGGGCTACTCCAATTAGTGTATGGACCAGCTCCAGTTTTGGTTGGGGGTGGGTAGATGGATTGGTGCCTAGTAGAACGGAGTCAGGGTGAATGTAGGGTATAGATTGATGCTGGGGAACTGTGGGGTCATGATGCTGTGAAGTGATAGAGTTGCTAGTGGGTGGAATAATATACTCGTGATTACTGCTGTCTGTTGAAGGAGTGCCTGTAATAGCGGTGATGAAAGTAACTGGCTCAATTGATTCATCTGTTGGTTCCAGTTTCGTGGTGTCTCGGTCATGTCGTGCCAGAGATACTTGTTTTATCTCTTCGTGCGCTGTGTATGGAGGGAAATTTCTTCCACGGCCAAAGTTGCGTTTTTTTCAATGCTAAGTTTCTTCATCGCAACTAGAGCTGGTGGCCTCATCTTCCTCTAACATATTGTCTCTAATTCTCCCTCTCTTTATCCCTCTGTCCCTCTCCTCACTTCCTTCTCCACCTTCTGATTTTCCCTCTCTCCCTCCCTCTCCGTCCTCTTCCTCTCCTCCCTCTCTCCTTCCCCCTTCCTCTTCTTCCTTCCCCTCTCCTCCTCCTCCCTCATCCACCTCAGATTCCAGGTCACCACACGGCTTGTCGGCTGGAGAGTACCCATAGCGTTTGAGCAGCTCTTCCAATGGCAGCTCACTCTCCTGCACACACAACACCAACAATGCTTCATACGCATGAGGACTAGCATGTACCAACACAATGTGTCACATACCAACTCAGTGCACATGCCAAGACCTTAATTGTACAGACAAGGCCAAAATGCATACACTCACTCACTGCTATCATTACGACCACAAGCAAAAAAAGAGGCTCAAACACACAGAAATATTGTACATTTGTAGATGCACCAACAAGTAATGGTGCACTGCATGAGGACAGTGAACTTCATTAAGTTATTGTACAGTAGAACTATCAACACCAATGGGATAGGAGAAAGTGTCTGTTAGAGAGGTGTCCTTATTGTTTAGCGCAAGAAATAACTGTTCCTGGGGAGAAAAAGTACCCTCACTAGAGGTGTCCTCACTTCAGGGATGTCCTCAGAGAGGTATATAGTATATTCATACCTGTTGGAGGTCAGCCACCTCTTCCTCAACATCTCCAATGCTCTCCTGAGCTTCAGCCTCGGCCAGAGTCTGCTCGTCATCTACGTCGCTGTGGATCAGCATCTCCGCCGTCACTCAAATTCATCGTCTTCTGGATGGAAAATCAAGGGACTTACTCCATGCATTGCTCATAATGTCCAAGTTGGAATGGCATGGGAATTATATCACGCCTAAGGTGGACAGTGCAGTTGGCTATAAGAGTGAGCTGGGAAATATGATCATGTGGTGCCGGACCGATATGTGTGTAGCTAAGGACGTGCGCGTGCAAATGACAGCTCACAGGCTTGCTTGTATCAAGCCCCACCCACTCTTCATGCACGCCTGGGAGCCGCGCTACCCAAAGCCGCGAGTCCGGCTTTATTCCCACTGTGGATAGCGTACAGTAACGTAGACCCACCGTCCATTCCGGTGAGACTTGTGGGTAAGTTTGTGAGAGAAACGGACGCCACGACTGGACCCAGTGTGACTGTCACAGCTCGTCCCCTATTGGCGGACACGAGACAGAACACGGGCGGAACAACCGGAAAACAAAAGTCAATGCTACAGCATGCGACCACTTTCATGTACTCCTAGTAAAAGCCTTACAGAGTTCTCCAAGACTGCGACAAAAATCCAACACAAAAATATACCAGATCTTCCTCGCTTGGAGGCTCACGTGCTACACCCACTAAGCCCCGCCCACTTTTCTCACGGATGATGCGATGCAGATGGATCCGGATATAAACGTGGCCCGCCTCCTTCTTGTTCTAGCTAGCTGTCGGTTGTGTGTAAATCCCTGAAAGGTCGGTGATCGATGGCGGCCTCTGTAGCACCAGAAGGGCCGTCCGAGTCTCTTTTTGCTAAGTTCTCTAAACCCTTCTCCACCGCCATCACGTAAGTTGAGAACGTGTGTATTTTGGTAGAGTCCGTTTCTCACTTCTTTCCATTGGCGAGTACTTCCAGCCGGCAGCTATAGAGCTCTAAGTAGGTGCATGCAAGAACAGCGTTACCCTTACTTCTTCGGATTGGGATCGCACGTTTCTTGTGTGCAATACTATACTTTGTGCCCCTAGCTTGAAATCAGCCTTGTATTTGGCCAAATGTGTATTGGGTATATACCTTGCTCTAAATTGCTGCTAGCTGCTGGGTATGATTATGTTGATCTGAGCCTCTGGCTACTACTGTACTACTGTAGGCCCATGGGAGAACAATACTGGCTTGCTGACTTGCATGCCCATATTGTGCCGTACTCAGAATATTGTGTGATAGCTATTGTGTTTGTCTTACAAATACGGGGCGTGTTGAGTTTTCCTCATTAAAGGGGAAAATGCACACATGATAATGCAATTTCAACCCAAACCATCAACCCACTATACAGTGTGGTGTGCCCTCCACTGTACACTGACACTGTTCAAACCTTGCTTCATTGGAACTGAAGCAGCGCAACCACGTGGCTGCAAGTATACAAGTAAACGCAGTTCTGGAGTGTTGTACGTGTTGACATGTGGGTCCAACGGAACTGAAAATTGATTGTGTTATTGATGCATGCCAGAAAACTTGGAGGGACCCGTTCTGCATACGGGAACACTTGAACTAACAACAACCGCAATGTAACAACATAGTGCTCGTACTATAACAACTTAGGCACCATACTCTACAGTGAAATATAGGAACGGAACCATCCTGTTTTGTTTTCACTGAAGATGGTGGTGGTAGCTATAGCCACCACAGTATAGATTGGCTCTGTCGTAATAATTATGACAATAGCAAGCTCCAAGTCTCTATGCTGTAACGTATAGAGACAATTATCAAGGGCAAGACTTTGGTGTGATTGCGTCAGGTGTTTTGGTACTATATGTTTTGTGTGTTCGTAAAAACACGAAGCATAAACTTCGCACTATTTTATGTAGTAATATACTTCACACACACACACACAACACACAAACCATGCTCAAACTCCACCAGTGCTGCCTACAAGCGTCTGTTGGGACCGTACACGAGCCACATTCGATGCGGTCGGACGCCGTTTGACATGCCAGGTCACCTCATAGCTCCCCTCTGTGGCTCAGTGACGGCCTGCTCCACCGGGCCTTACGGCGGGATCTGTCAACTAGAGCCCGACAAAGACGCCCCGACCCACCCTCCAGGTATCATTGGTGAGCGAAGTGAGCCCAGCTGTCGTCTGAATTGATTATGGTTCTGCCACTGTAATGTTGTACGTTACGCGTAAAAGTTTGCCCTCATTTTCACTTTTCACCACTATGGACACAATTCTGTAGCGTGTACAGTTTGTAAGGAGCTACACTGCATTACGCACACTAAGTGTATTACAAGGAGAGTGTGACACAATAAGTGAAAATCTAGCTTTCTTTTCCCCGGCATTTTGTCTGTTTTCCACAGCCAGTGTATACAGAATTGAGAGCGGTTTTATCTTCTTGTGCAAGGGCTCGTTGACCGCTTTATTGAACATATGTATACGTCTTGCAGATGAGAGTATAGCAGGAGTGGTGGGCTGGCAGAGACCACAGAGCAACGCAGACGGCGAGTCCATCACTCTCTACGAACACAAAGACCAGAGCACCTACCACCACGGAGACCCCATAGCCGACGTCTTTGCCATACTCGCTCGACCCAACAGCTGTATTCTGGCCGTGGCAGACGGATGTGGCTGGGGGATAAAACCAAGACTCGCCGCTCGCTGTGCCGTCCATGGAAGCATCGAACACCTCAACGAGAAGCTTTTCAGTTCGTCGTCGGCGGAGAAGTTCACAACGCAGGACGTTTTCCACGTGATGTACCGCTCCCTGCACACGGCTCAGAAGAGGATAATCCAACACGGCGGGACAACCACCACACTCTGTCTGGCAGTGGTGGTAGAACTAGCCGAGGCAAAGGCCGGGAACAGGTGGGGGTGTCTGCGTTGTGAGTGTCGGCGACTCCGTCTGCTACGTCTGGCGGCACGAGTCTCAGGAGGTTCACGAGGTGACAGCAGCCATTAGGGACGGGAGGGAGAGGAACTTGAGGGACGCTGGGGGTTGTCTTGGAGCCGACATGGGCGACCATCCTGACCTCACAAACCTCTTCTGCTGCTTTGCCCCCGTCTCAGAACACGACCTCGTCTTTCTCTCGTCCGACGGAGTATCGGACAATTTTGACCCCGTGACTCTTCGGCAAGCGCTCCAAGATTCATCCGAGATGACTCAATCTTCATCTCACCTCATCCCCCAAGACACCCCCTCACAACCTCCCCCTCCTTCCTCCTCCACCTCTCCTCATCCACGCCGTACCCTCACACCATCCGAGCGACACAACATGACGGTCCACCGTCTCACCGACCTGCTCAGAGAATCCCAGGCCTCGAAAGATGCACCACTCGACGCCACCGACGTAAAAGAAGCAGTCAAGAACTTTGTGATAGAGGCGACGGAAGAGAAGCGACATTTCCTTGAGCAGGTGTGGGCGGGGGCCAGCCATTCGGTCCTGACCCCCGCCGAGAGAAGAGAACAAGACAGGAAGATCGGGCAGACTGTGAAACAGCTCCCTGGAAAGTTGGACCATGCCACAATCGCAGTCTACCAGGTAGGGAGAGTCCTGTCCGATGCAGCAGGTGAACACTCTATACTTCACGTAAAGAGACCACATTCTGTGACCCAATCGTTTTGCATCGTCGACCACCCCAACGATCAGGGGCATGCTACCCACACCAAGTTAGAGTTGCCCAGTTACACCACACCGAGAGGTAGTGATGCAATAGATAACACGGCAGGTCCAAATGATCATGATCACAGTGTATGAAAACGTTCGTTGTTGTTGTTTGTGTTTTTGTTTGTAAGTCTGTAAATTTAATATAAACCCACAAAAATAGCGATGGATTCGTACGTTTTTTTCGCACACCGCTATGCATGCCAGTATAACAGTGTCAACAACTTGTCTGCGTCAATAGATATTACCAGCTTAAACATACACAATTTCGACAATATTGCACAATAGACACAAAAGGCAAACACAGGCTTACTAGTTCCACCTCTGTACAACATGTTTTTCTACACAGCTTTACAATAAGTCATTTTGCTATGAGTTTGGGAAGTAAGCTGAAGTTAGAGGGATCTGCTGTTCTGTGACCCTTTTTCCTCCCCGGCCACGCCCCCCTCTTCCCCCTCGTCCCCCCGATGGGGGTCGCAGTACCCCGGGGGTCACAGAGGTCGGAATGGGCGGGGCTTGAGTTGGTTCCGGGAGGGAGGAAGGGTGAGGGAGATACTTGGGGTCCAGACTGGGTTCATTAGATGATTGTCTGGGGAGACCTGCAGGACTCCGCTTTACTCCACCACCTGATAGGAGTGTGAACGAGGATTGATTCATAATTTGGGGGAACCCTAATACTTTGTGTACACTAAGTTTCTGTGTGGCTAGCGAGCCCACGTCGTCTCAATGTAGCTATTGTAGTATGTGATGGGCACTGCACATACTATAATACTTTACAATTCGAACACAAAGAATTGAACTACTCGTGTTTTCTCGCCAAAATGCATTGCCAGCTACACACATCCTCCCATTAGAAACCTCTGATACCTTCTGTGCAAACGGCGCAAGAGTGTGTTCTGGTATACACCTCGGCATACTAACTTCCATTTAGCTTGTTTGGTGCGAGGGTTCCATGCTAGACCAACCATACACTAAACACCTATAGATGTATGGGGGCTATGATAGGAAGTTTTGTTCATCTTCTTCTACTTCTTCCACTCGCGTATACAATTCCTGTTCACAAATTGGCAGGAAATCATTGTTCACTTTCACATTCACAGCTCTCAACAACTTTGGCCGCTATCCATGGGACTATATCTACACACACACACACACAAACAAACAAAAGGCTATAGATTCAACATCTCCATACATATATACACAGAGACGTATGTACATATACACCAGTGGATGTAGTGGGAGATCTTGTCATTGAGCCAATGCCGTGTGCTGCTGCCGACAGAGAATGAGAAGACAGGGGAGAGGGTACAGCTGGTGTGCCAATGGTCTTGCCGGCCGCTCCACCCCTGAACACCACCTGGACAAGTAGGAGAAGGAGAGAAAGAGAGGACAAGGGGGTTGTTGGGGGAGCGAAAAAATTAATAGAGAGGACATCAAAAACTAAAATCCAGGACTACTGTGAAATCTGTTTGTAGTGGAAAGCTAGTTAGCAAAGTCCTTGTGTGCCAACAATAGAAATATCCCCGCCTGCTAAATTTCCCATAGAAAAATTTAGCAGGCAGCTCAGTCACATTTTTATCTCTCGCGTTCCCGTTTATGGCATTCACAGGCTAAGCTAGACGACACGTGGCAATGGGTCGCCATGCTTAGTACCTGGTGTTTGGCGTTTTCTTTACCAGCCAACGAACCAAGAACTTGTCTGTCGCCGTCCTCTCCTCCTGCCCCTCCCTCTCCCATCCCTGTCCCTGCGGCAGTGGGCAGTCCGGACGACAGGAGGTAACCCCCCGTCATTAGTGGGCTATTCACTCCCATTGCTGGAGTACTGCTGAACTGAGGCTGGAGGGAGGCAAGACATGGTAAGCAGTGTTTTTAGCTAAGAGCAATTTCTTCTGCCCTCTGCTCAAGTTCACTATTTCCTAGCCAGCAGGTGCAAGCCTTGCTTGGGTTTTCCCTATTGAAAGTCTTGAAATATAAACAGTAAACACATCCATTTTCTGTTGGTTTGGAGTTCCCAAAAGAATTTCCCCTACCTTTGCTAATCTCGCATGCTGATGACTGAAGAATAGTCGAATACAGGGAAGGAGAAATGCTAATTAGTGCCCAGGGAACATCTACAGTAATTACTAATCAATAGTTATTACAATGTGAGGTGCTGAAGTGAAGGGTGATGATGAGTGACGGATGGTGGAGAAGGGGAGGGAGGCGGGGCCAGCTGGAGGGACACGCCCACCCATCATCTGCTCATTGATCTGTTTGTTCAGCCAGCCAATCACTGGAGCCACAACCAATAAGTCCGGAAGTCAACATGTAGACACGCTAGCTACAAACAAACCGTTTTCATTGGTCTTGAGTAGCTCTCTGCTCTCCTCCAGTTTACCTCTAGTTGCCTGCAGTGACTCCTCCAACCTCTGGATCTGCAGCAACACCACACGCACACACGCACACAAGGGGAAAATATTACTGCACCGTGTAATTTTTTTGCATCACGTGAACGTTTTCGTGAGCAAGTTTCGCAAACAGAAGGTATGTGTGCGTGGCAAACTAAACTGAAGTACGGTATTTGCTATAGTGAATTCAAAATTAGCATTTTTTTTTGGTCAAAATTTTCTTTTGCTACTGGATCAATGTGCTTAACGAAGATTAACAGTTACTAGAGGTCTTTGGTCTACACATGCACGTGCTGCATTTGGTTCTAGTGTGTTACCTCCTCATCTTTCTGGGCCAGGGATCTAGAGAGGCCCTGGTTCTCCTGCACCTGTCTCTCGAGAGACGCCTCCTTCTCTCCCAGGAGCTTCTCCTGCTGCGTGGTCGCCACGTTCCTCAGCTTCAGCTGCCACGAGGGAGGAGGAGGGGAGGGGGTGAGGAGAAGCAACGCAGTAAAGACATGTAGCCTGCTTGTCTCACTACGCAGCCTGAGACCCTTCTTTAACTTGTCGCACATGCAGACTGTGACACTGACACAAACCTTGTCTACATCACATGTTTAGCTCATGCATTGTATGTATATACGTACCTTGGACTTCAAGTTACGAATCTCGTTCTGGAACTTGTGAATTATCTCATTCCCCTGCAGTAGACAGACATCACATACAACAGCAGTTGAAGAAAACATACGTAGGACTTGTGGTTACTACCAAACAATGGCTCGCATGTACATCTAAAGCCCAACATATACAGTGCAACTTTGCATGCAACTTTTTGTCCCGTGGAAGTCTCATGGAAGTTGCACCATGTAACAATAGACCATGTGATGCCAAGAGAAAAAAGAGAGAAAAAAGATGCCCGAGCTCTGGACAGCTGTTTCGGGCTTGTTGGCCCTCATCACAAAGCATACCGCAACTTCTCTCTCTGGCATCACGAATGTACGTTGGGCAGAAGTCGCGTGCAACTTGCTGCATGGAAGTAGAACGGTTGTCTATTCGACGCAACTTGTCTCGCGCAATCGCAACATACCGACACAACTTTATCTCGTGCAACATGTTGTGTGAGAAAAAGTTGTGCTGTGTGTATGTTGGGGGCTTTAGTAGTGATCAAATCACACTAATATTGCTACAAGTATATGTGATGCGTTGATAGAAGAGGAGGTAAGATTGCACGAATCAGAGGGTGTTAACACAAAGGCAAGTGCAATTCAACTAGCACCTTGCAGGACAACACTTTGTTTCCAAAACACACAAGTCTGACAGACGACCAGTGTACATAAGTTTGCACTGTGTACCTTAAGGACCTCCTGAGAGGTGGCCTTGAAGGCAGCCTCCATCTTTGACAGTCTCCTCTGGGTCTGCTCCAGAGAGCTCTCTCCTCCTCTCACTCTCTCCTGACTGGCCCTCAGTAGCTCCGACGTCTGACCCAACACCTTACAGAGGTGACACACACACACACACACATAATTTTCTAAGTTTACACAGAAAGGAGAGAAGGCAATGTTTATACATGTACAGTAGTAGGGCATGTGTTAGTATTTGGACATCAAAGTTAACTGTAAAGTGACACATGTGAAGTAACAGCTATGGTGGAATTGAACATAATACTCTCAATGTCCTAGTGTCTTAGTCTCTGTACGATGTCTCGTGGCCAGAGCCCACATCTTAATACTATGTGGAAAAGGGAGTCTGGAAACTTTACTTGCTCCTAGATGCTGAAACGGAGATTGCCAATCACACCGCAGAACATCGATTCAATGTCACATTCATCTTTAACGCAAGGGGGCGAACACACTAGATGAGTGGTGTACAGACTACACAACATACAGTATATTATGTACCTGTTCCTTATCTTTGAGCTCTTGTTCGAGGACGGCGACTCTGGTGGTGAGATGGGAGAGCGTCTTTTCTCTCTCGTGGAGCCCCGAATCCAGGGACACGTTGTCTCGACGGAGAGACTGCAGCTCCTCCTGTAGCCTGGCACACTCCTAACATGCACGGTAGGGGGAAAAGATTCGATAGTAACATTACATTTTAGAAAGCAGAGTTAAGAAGGCAAATGTATAAGGACAGCACCAAGGACAAAACTTTAACAAAGAGCTGCCACACACGTACACACTTATACCCATGCAGTTGAGGGACCATCAAACACACCTCTTCAGAGGTCTTGAGCTTTGACTTCAGCTCCCGAATGGCGGCCTGTGAGCGGTACTTGTGGTCGGTGAGATCCTTCTGACTCGCCTCCAACTCCACTAGTCTCGCCTCCAGACCTACCACCTGCACAGACAGAGCAATGAGGCACTCGAAAGAACTTCGAGCAACTCTTTTCCATTATTATCCATCGCATGCCATCCACCTATAAACCATGTTCCTCCCCACTTATATCTTTGCGAAAGTTGTATATAAATTCACTCCCTGATATTCTATCATCCACTGTAGAATGACACACTCGCGACAGAAAGCGTAAAAAGCAATTTTTGCTAAGACAATCTGCTAACATACACGGTGCTGAAATGCTTGCACAAATCAAAAACGGGCAAGTTTTTAGTGTGAGAATGCTTTCTACAACTAGTGGTGGGAACCTTGCTGGCATGTGACTGTTCCAACTCCCTCTTATTCCTGTCGTGCCGTGCCTGGAGCTCTGCCTGACTGTGCAGGTTCTTCTCCCTCTCGGCGGTCAGCTGGGCGGCGTGCTGGCTGCTCAGCTGGGCCGAGTGACTGGACCATTCTCCTCTCAGCCTCTCCAGCTCCTGACTTCTACTGCTCAGGCTCTAACACACACATACAGTCGGCCAGTGACGGGAGACACACAATATTTTCACGTCTACCGTTCACAGACTCAGCAACAACTTCATAAAGTTGTCCAGTTTTAGACAAACATGTGATCCTCTCTCGGAAACTGTTTGTACTTCATACGTTTCTGAGATAATGTTTATGGCTCGATTCCCCATCATCTACCATTCAGTTCTTATAGTATTAATGTTGGTGGAAATTATCCAACTCTCTGCTCTAGTATACACACACCACTACTATAAGTTGGGTACTATATACCGTTTGAGACTCAGCAAGTTGAGCAGCCAGATCAGATTTGGTGGAAATCAGCCTCGCATTCAACTCCTCATTCTCTACCTGCGGCAAAAAATAGGCGTGTCTCTTAAAACAACAACAACTGAATACTGTTATTAGCTCCTGTTAATATTGAGTCAAATTATATATACATGGCTGAAAAGAATAGCCAAAGAACGAATGAAAACAGACCACCACAACTCTACCTCTTACCAAACAATAATCCTCACATCCCTAGACTTGAGAACTGGGGCATTAAAACTCTTTGGACCCCATGGGTATCTCTTTAAATAAGCGGAAATGATGTATAACATATTAACGCCTAGTATTATAGCCATTTGAATTCTTATGGACTCATGGAGGCTCTGGGCATATATAAATGCCCGTGGCTTGCTAAGGGTTAATGACGTATTACACAGAGTAGGATGTTAGGACTACGATAAGTGAGTCTTAGACTAAAACACCAGACGTAAGGAGAAAAACTTCCGTTGCAAGTCAAGTGATCATCCAATACAGATCATCGAGAAGCGAGGCCTAGTGGGAGGGAGAACGGGAGGGGGAGAGGAATGCAAGTGACGAGGTCTGCATAGTCTTCCTAATACTCATCCAAGAGCTAATGTTGTGCCTCTGCCACCAGCTAACGCTCCAAATTGAGGGGGCAGACCGACCACAGCACAGCCAGCCAGACACACAAATATTCAACAACAAAAGAATTGACAACAACTAATTGCAGTGAAGCAGCCAAACATAGCACAAGACAGGTGCTCCACATCTGCTGGTGTGTATAGTCAACATTCTATATGGCAGGTATGGAGACAGAAGGTTAGCACTGCCGTAGGTGAAAAATACACTTTTCACTCATAATCCTGCTCCCTTTAAACGTGCAGTAAAGTTCAGCCAAGTGCATGTGTACATTTGCAGGTCTCTAAAATTTGATGACTAAAACTCTCGACCGAAATAAATTTGCACTCTACTGACACCGCAAAGCATAACACCTTTGGACAGGACTACCTCTAGTACATGTATCTATATTCATAAGTATACAAATACAATTAGAGAAAAATGCACCATTGAGACGACCTGGGCTCTCTTAACTCACCAATTATTACGAATGTCCAAATCGCACGCATAGAGTCAAATATCCGAGTTTGGTTACGTACATATAATTACAGTTATCAGGTATAATAGCAGTGCAGACCTTGAGCGAGAGGAGGCAGTCGGCGAGGTATTTCTTGAGGTAGGTGTCAGAGGCAGGGACCAGTCTCAACTGGAGGTGAGTGAGGTGACGGAACGGGTTGGTCTCCACCACCTCCAGCTGGGAATACCCCTGCTCCTCTCCTCCCAGCCACAAATGCAGCAGAAACCTGCACAGTGTGTGTATACAGGAACGTTTAAAGGAAATGGGGCAGTGAGACTTGTTAACTAAAACAATAGGGCCCGGTGCAAGAATGCATTAGGTTTTGTTATAAGCAACAGTTTCCAACCCTTATAATTATACTGCCACGTTTCCTTTTACTCAGGCCTGTAATTGTCTTCTTGGTACTATTCCTAGTATTCTGAGCTCATTACTATACACTTTACCACCACCCAACAATAAACAATAAGCTAGCTAGGTTAGTAAGGAGCAATTTTGCAAGATTAGCATGTTTTGTGTGTGTGTGTGTGGTGTGTGGCATACTTGGGTCTCTCCTGGTTGGCCTCAGAGAGACAGAGGTCAAGAAGGTCAATGAACTTTTGTGGGAATGCAGTAAAGTCAACCAGCAGACCTTGCTGAACCTTCAGCCTGCAGGAGAGGTGTATATATAGAGGGGGGTGGAGGGAGGGGGGTGGGACAGATATTGTGTATATATCATTGCACAGAGGACGGCTCTAAACAACATTCAAGTTGTTTGTTTGTTTTCCGGAGACAAAACATTAATAATGAATTCACTTCAGTTCTGGCACCACGTGTTCCCACGTGGTACTACTACATGTAACACCAGAAACTTAGTCAAGTGCACTGTTACTGTAGTAGGCTATGTACATGAAGAATTCGTCGCGCATTAGCTGCAGAATATGTAGCACCTTAATAAGGAATGTGTGCATTGTATAAATTGGTATACTAACCCTTGAAAGTCAGCTTCTCCTAGTGAAAGATTGAACAGGAAGAACGGGTCACTTTCATCTGTCACTCTCACAATCAACTCCTAACACACAGAGATTAGCAAATACACAGAGGTTGCAACAGTGAGTGTGAAGGAAGGAGCATACTGTAGCTAGTAGTACACACACCTTCTTGTGGACAGGTGTGGTTGTCACGTGGAGTAAGATGGTGATCCCCACCCGAGCTTGTCTGAGAATAATATTATGCAACATGGGCTCACAGGACGCATGTTGCACATTTTATATGCCAAGACTAATTATATGCTTACTTTTCGTCGCGGTCAGATTGCTTGATGACCACTGGTAAGGACTTGTTGAAGAGTTCTTCCATACCTCTGCTGAAGATGGGGGTCCAAAGTTCAATTAGGGAAATCCGCGCCAAAAATCACGTGAGCAGGCGTGTTGTGCGCATGCGTACCCGCGCGCTCTTTTTCTGGCGCGGCAAACAAAAAGAGCCCAAGTTTATCGTTTTAGCTATCACCGAAGACCAGAAAATGGATCTAGAAACAGTCTTACGAGGAATAATAATTCCTCTATTATTGTATCAGAGTGTTTGGAGAGCGGTTATTGCACAGCAAGAAGGTGCGGTGAGATTGGTGAACAATCGTGATGGAGTGTCAGTCTGCGGACGAGTGGAGATATTCCACGACAGACAGTGGGGAACGGTCTGCGACGACAGATGGAACATGGCCGGCGGGAACGTCGTGTGCAAGCAACTTGGGTACCTGAGGGCGGAGAGAGTATTCTACACGGCGTACTACGGCCGCGGGACGGGACCGATCTGGATGGACAGCGTCCAGTGCGGTGAAGGAGACAATTCCCTCGCAGATTGCGGGCACGGAGGATGGGGTGTTCACGACTGCGTCCACTCAGAAGACGCCGGAGTGTGCTGCGAGCGACAACAGGCCGCTAAACCAACCACTCTCCCCGTCCGCCTCCGTTGCCCGGATTGCAACGTCGGCGGGTCGTGCAAGGCCTGCCCCGACAAGATGTATCCCAGCAGAAACGACTGCTTCCTCATGAGTGCAGTTCGAGGCATAGTCGAGGTCCAAGTAAACGGCGTTTGGGAGACGATCTCAGCCGAAGGCTGGGGATGGAACGAGGCAACAGTTGTGTGTGGACAATTAGGCTACCCAATGGCGTTCTTCAGTCGCTACTCGCACAGTATGACGCGACTGTGGCCGAACTATGCAGTCGAGACTGAAGGGGAAGGGATGCAGTGTGTTGGCAAAGCTCTGAACAAAACCAGAGGGCTCCGCAGGCGGCTCGCCACCACACTACTGCAAGGTGTAGACTGTCACGGTCGAGAGACCAACATCCACGAATGCTTCATAGCTGGTGTAGGATCAAAACCTAACCCTTCAAAAAACGTCGCCACAGTCCAATGTGCCTTCTTTCCTCACCCTGACTGCTACAGCAGCTCATTCACAGAGGTAAAAAGTAATCATCCAGTAAAGTTCCAGCAAAACCTTTGGTGATTTACTAAAATGTCTCCGATGTGGTGATCACTAACGTTATTATTTTTCTTTCAACAGAAGTACAGGCTAAGAGGAGGTGCTGTTCCGTGGAATGGTAGAGTGGAGGTCAGAATCAACAACCAGTGGGGGACGGTGTGTGACACTGGATTCGACGTGAAGGCGGGAAACATTGTCTGTCGACAGCTCGGCTTTGGCACGGTGAAGAGGATCGTGGGGAGAGCCGGCTACGGTCGAGGAGTTGGGGCAATTCATCTCACACAGCTTCGGTGTGTAAATATTGGCATGGAGTATTGTACTAGGGTTCGAGTTGTGTCTATACCACAATGCCACTGCCGCTAAAGTGGTTGGGTGGCACAATATTGATGCTCCCCTTCACACTAACACAGCTGTGGCTGATAGTGAAGGTCCAATGCACTGCCAAGCTAGTTTCTATACACATACTTCAGTCAATAGCTTTTGTTCTCCTGCAGAAAAAACTGCCTGTTTTACTATTGGCTATACTACAGTGTCATTAGTATTTCACTATTTCTGTTTCTCAGGTGTACTGGCTCAGAGTTTAATCTCGGGAGGTGCCCCCATGCAAGTGGCAATACTGCCCTGGCCTGCACACACGGTGGTGATGTTGGCGTGGAATGCCACGTTCCAAACGTCTCAACGTGTGACCAGTACAGCAATCAACCATACAATGTACGTGAGAGAAATTAGTAATTAGTCCGGTATCTTTTCATTATCTTTGTGTCATGCATGATTATTAGGTGAGACTTCACACAGAAGTGGACAGAGCGAACCCAAACATCAAGCGCTCCTACCCAGAGATCAGAGGGAGTGCAGGATGGGGCATGCTGTGCTACAACAAGCAGAGGCCATCAGTCACACTCTCACTTGGTGAGATCATCTGCAGACAGACACAGGGGCTGTTTCTCTCCAGTGTATCTCGAGGAGAGCACCCGGCAGGGTTCAGTGGTCGAGCCTTTTACAACGGAACCATACACTGTAAAGGAAACGAGACTAGACTCTCCGAGTGCTCTGTGAACATTTCACCTGCTGGCTGGTGTCCCGGGATGTACACCATGATCACCTGCACAATGGGTGAGAATAAGAGGACGGTGATGTATCTGAGTAGACAGGTTGAGAAACAGGTCTTCCATAATATTATACACATTAGTTAACCACTATACTGTCAATATAAGCCTGATCTAAAAATGTAGAAACTGCAGCAACTCTCACACAACATTTACCTAGCTATAGTTAAGACAAAAAAGGTTTTTCTGCAGTGCTCTAAAATGAGCAAAAACTGCACACGATAATGATATTAAAGAGATACGTGTTTTTCTGAAGATATTGAATGGCATTAATATACCCAGGTGTACCAGACCTAGTGCCTGATCTGACGCGATTCCGTAACTCACTCGTGAGCAGGCGCTACGTGGACCGAATCCCTCTCTACTACCTGTCGTGTGCTCTGGACGAGGGCTGTCTCTCCAGCTCTGCTGTAGGAGCTCCCAGTAACAACACAAGGCAAGCTCTAGTCTATACCCTTTCAATACTAGTAGGGAGTAATATTTGAGTGTACAACCAGCAAAAACTATGTGGCAAGCCAAATGACTACACCCAGGAAAACAGTAGAATAAAAAGCTTCCTGGGTAGAATTCTAATCCATGACAATCTGCAGTCTGTTGAGAGTTAATAGAAATGAAGACCAAAGTCATAGTACCAAACACAGAAAACTCAGTGATGTTGCTCTATCCCACATAATATGTGCTGAAACACAGATATCTACTGAGGTTTGATAGTCTGACGAGGAACTGGGGTCTCTATGACTTCCTCCCTGTGCTGGCCAGAGACGAGTGGATCTGGCACTCGTGTCACAACCACTACCACTCCATGGAGGCCTTGTGCAGTACGACCTTCTCAACATCACCACGGGGGTAAAGGTTGCAGAGGGACACAAAGCCTCCTTCTGTCTGGAGGACAGCACATGTGACTCGCGGGTATAGTGGCCACTTCAAGTGCTACCTTGGGGTCCAGGGCATTTCAGTCAACTGTGGAGATCTGTATGCCTCCTACCTGGACTGCCAGTGGATAGATATTACTGGGATCTCAGGTGGAGACTATGTCCTTCGTCACAGAGTCAACCCAGAGAGACTGGTGGTCGAGAGCGACTATCGCAACAACGAAGTTTTGTGCCGGATAACTCTCATCCGCGATCTGACGTCCTTCACAGTGCAGGACTGCTGGCTCTCAGGTTAACCCCCTATATACCTTGTATATAAATCAGCACCTGGTATTACATAAGATTGTGTAATGTGGAGCTCTAGTAGTTGACAGTTGGGTGTCATCTTACTTCTGTAGATCATGAGGGAACCCCTGCTCGTCGATGAAATATTAGCTGCACAGAGACCACCATCTATGTGCATGCATGTACGTTACACTCTTTTTAAGTCCACTTTCATTTATTGAACACAATGCAAGTTCATATCTAGTGTGTGATTATAATTCCAAAAAACACATTATTTTCAAACTATACCGAGACACGAAACCTCGATACTAGCTATAGACAACTCCATCATTAGTGATCTGAAAAAGAAAATTGACGATAAAACGATACCTATAATAGAGCGATGGAAGAGAGCTGTCTCACCTGAAAGCCAGCAGTCCCCCACCTCCAGGGTCTCCTCCCAGCCGTAGATCCGCGAGTACACCTCGTCAAACACGATCCTACAGAAGGCATCGTTGTTCCCATAGTCGCTCTCCATACCAAGTCTGAGAGGATTCAGTGACACCTGAAGCAAATACTCCCCGTAGCCTAGCCGAGTGATGTCGACCCACTGACAGTCGAGGTGCTGTCCGTACAAGTCGCCACAGTTGACAGAAATTGCCTGGACCCTGGGGTTACATGTGTAACGAGGATTGTGACCACTGGCACACACGCTGTCCTCGAGACAGAATGAGGCTTTGTGACCCTCGCTCGCCTTGTTGGACGTCCCGTAGTAAAAGACGTTGTAGTGGGCAAACTCTTCCATGGAGTGGTAGTGGTTGTGACAATCGTGGTACTGCCAGTCTCGACTGTAGGCGACTGGTTTGAAGTCTGCCAGCCCATAGTTCCAGGCCAGACTGTCAAACCGTAACAGTTTTCTGTGGAGCAGCATTGCAAGCTTAAACTCTCCTCGAATCCACAAGTATACAAACTAAAACATTTTTGGTGGGATAGAATTCTTTTTCCACTAACACAAAATGTGAATGGCTAAGTTGTAGGAGACTTGCCTGGAAGGGCCATACTGGGTAGCATATCTCCCAAGACAGCCTTCCTGGTAGGCACACCCGAGGGTGTACATTGGCAAATTTTGGAGAGCAAAGAATGACTGGAGCGAACTCTTTAGCCTTGCAACGTCTGGTACTAGATCTGCTACAGCTGTTGAGAACACGACGCACAGGTCGTCTAATTTTACAACTCTGACATAATAATACCTGGAGTACAGCGAAGTATGATGTAACCTTCACGACAAGTGCTCTGTGGGCTGACGTTCACCTTACACTCTGAGAGTAGTTTCTCATTGCCAGAGCATTCAATGCGACCACTATAATAAACGCCGTCGTAGCCTGCTGGAGGACTAGAAATCCGGGTCAGGAACAAGATAAACTGCCCCAGTGTTTGTCTGCAAATCAAGTCCGCCGCGCCCCTCGTCATGGTGGGGACCCTGCCATTATAGCAAATTAATCCCCTGCCAGACCTTTCCCTTAGCTCTGGATAGTCAATACCTCCCTGCCCCTTCATAACCACCTGCATGCAGAACTTTCATTAGTCATGCAGGCCACAGTATAGGACATGGAGTAAACCTCACTCACATGATGGAGAGTATTTTCCAAACACGTTGTAGAATCCGGAACGTTACACTCCAGACCCACATCTTGTGCATGGCCACAGTTCTGAGTCTCTGTGCTCTTTAGACAGTTGCCGATGCGAGTTTCTCTACCTGTACAACTACAGTGTTATTAGTGGGCTAAGTGAACAAAGATAGGAGAGTATGTTTGCTGCCGACCTGAGATCAGTATAATGTATGTTTGCCACTCCTCGACCGTATCCAGATATTGCCTTGACTGTTCCGTAGCCAAGCTGCCTGCACACAGTGTTTCCGTCCAACTCATTGAATCCTCTGTCGCACACAGTCCCCCAGGCACCGTTCCTCTTGACTTCCACCCTCCCTTTCCAGTCTACAGCACCTGCCCTCAGTCTCACGTTCTGATACCAGAGCAGTATGGAGTAAGTCAAATCACCATAAATTTTCTCTAAGATTTGTGATACCTTTTCTGCTTCACGGAAGCAGTTAAAATGTGGTAGGAACCCACACTTAACTGCTGCAACTCTACGAGATGGGTTTGGTCGACTTCTCACACCAGTCATGGAGCAGCTCAGTAGCTCAGACTCCGTCCCCAAACATTTCACTCCTTGCAAGAGAGAGCGAGAGAGTTTTTCACTCAACAGCTCAATCTCCTCCGAATGAGTCTCGTTGCAGTCTTCCAGTAGACTCTGACTCTCCATTCCATTTCCACTGCCTGGGGAAGTGGCCTCCAGTAGCTGGCGGTATTGGGGCCAGACATCTTTGATCGTTGGAGGGGGAGAACCCTGTGGGTATACGGTTGGATAGCCGAGCTGTCCACACAAAACCGTGGCTTCTTTCAAATCCCACTCGTCTGCTGATATTGGACCCCAGTCTCCATCGACCATTACCTCGACAATGCCAGCTACTGCAGGCTGGACGTGGCAATCAGAGAGCGCCGGGTGGATCTTGTTTGGACATGTCCTGCACGCTGAGAGCTCTGTGCATTGGGGACACGTGAGTCTGACAGGGAGAGATGGTGGCCGCGGATCACAGCAAATGTGGATAATGTCCTCCTCCAGCGAGCAGTTGTGCTTTCCCCACCCTCCGTGGTGGCAGTCTGCGAGGGAAGAGGCTGACAATGCACACTCTACCTCACCTACCAATAAGGGTCCATAGTTGCCAGACCCAAAACTTATATTTTCGCTACTGGGCCACTGCTGGGGTGCTAATCCATGCATGAAACCAAGCTGACTGCAGACCCTGCGTATGTCCTCCTCATCCCAGTCTTTGCTGCAGACTAAACCCCATTCCTCTGCAAAAAACACCTCCAGTCGACCACAGTTGGTTGAGGATCCATCCGCAAGACGAACTGCCCAGTCAATTTCTGCACTAACATTGGTTGCCGCAAGAGACAACACTAGGACGGCTCTAGTTATCGAGTAGACCATCATCAGAAAAAAACGGAGAGCCGAAAGCGTCATGTTGCGTGTGAAATGAGTTTTGGCTGAGGTCATGCTGTGGAGTCTAGTAAGCTAACGAGCTAGCTAACGATTCGCGAACCTGTGCGGTCTAAGATCAGATGCGCGATAAACGCCGCGCAAACGCCCGATACTACAAAAGGTGTCCATTGTTTGGCTTGCGCAGTCGTGTATCAAAACAACAGAGAAGAAAACGAGATGGATTTGCGAGTCGTTCTCCTCCTGCTTCTGTGCGCCGTCGGCAAATGGCATGCGGCGGCGGCGGAGCCGTGCAGCAGAGAGGCTTCCATGCGACTAGTGGACGGACCGAGCTCCAACTGCGGACGCGTGGAAGTGTGCCACGACGGCGTCTGGGGTACGGTCTGCGACGACTCTTTCGATAGTCGCGATGCGGACGTCGTATGCAGGACGGTCGGAGGCTTCGAGGAGCACCTGAGCCGGCACCTCCGCGCATACTTCGGGGAAGGCACGGGTCCGATTTGGCTCGACAACCTGAGCTGTGCGTGGTCCTTCACCAACATAACGCAGTGCACGCCGCTGAACTGGGGAAGACACGATTGCGAGCACGACGAGGACGTAGGTGTGTGCTGCAAGAAGGTTCCTGCCCCAAAGCCCCCACATCTCCCAGTCCGACTGGTGGCCTCTTGTGGGCATCGAGTACCTTACCCCAAATGTCCGGATACGTTTCATCCACATGGGGTTCCATCAATTTCTGGCATTTTGGAGGTGCAGGTTAACGGTGGATGGGGTAGAATTGGAGCAGTCGACTGGAACTCTGCAGCAGCGACTGCTTTATGCGGAGAAATGGGGTACCCACTTGCTACGGCACTGACAGATGAAACAATTGGACTCGAAAGTGGTAGTGGGACGGGATTTCTAGCTCCTCTGTCTACATCGAACAGTATGACGTATCTGCATGGGCTGGAGTGTACGGGGAAAGAGAGAGAACTGCTCAGTTGCTTCTTCTCCGCGCTTGGCCCCCAAGCAAACCCAATGGGTAGAGTGGCAGCAGTCAATTGTAGCTGCAAACCTTACCTACCTCCAGAGAACAGTGTGAGTGTTGGTATGATCAAGCGGAGAAAACCGTTGTGTCATAGTTAGTTCAGTGCATTATTCAGGTCTACACAAAAATGTGCTGGCTTTGTCAGAGAGATTTGTGATTGTTAGCTATAAGCTATCTCTCCATACTCCAGATGCTGAGGCTAAAAGGTGGTGTATGGCCGTGGCAGGGACGAGTCGAGGTATTCAAAGATGGTAAATGGGGAACTGTGTGCGATGTGAGGTTCGATTTACACGATGGGAACATCGTGTGCAGAGAGCTGGGCTACGGGAGTGTGGAGACAATCTTCCCTCGTGGCAGGCAGGGCCAGGCATTGGGGCCTATTCATCTCTCCAATTGCCAGTTAGCCACGAGAAACTTTCATACACAGCCCTCTGAAAACAAGTCACTTTTGGTACCATTTAGGTGCACCGGGACGGAAGAGCATCTCATAGATTGTCCCTGTACAACAGGACGTGAGGTAGAGCGGCAGTGCAAACATACAGGCGACGTCGGTGTCCTCTGCCATGTCCCTAATAGCACTTCCACAGATGAGGTATATAGCTACAGTAAAGTTTATAGTGACAAACATGAACTTAAAACGCATAGATGGTGGTCTCTGAGTACCGGCACCCAAATGAGCGAGCTCCGTGGATATTTCACAGTTATGTTGAAGTTTCCTTGCCCGCGCTGACTGAGACAACATCTAGCGCACTGAGAAATGGACTAGTCTGTGCTTCGGTGGTGACAAGAGCATGTGGAGAGGTGTTCTGTCGTTATATGAAAGGAATGTTTCTTAGTGTGCTATCTAAAGGGGACGACATGCCTCGAGGCTACAGTGGATTCGCATATGCCGGACAAATGAGCTGTAGTGGAGATGAGGGCTCTTTCTCTGATTGTGATGTCAGCCTCCACAGTGCAAGCTCCTGTCCCGATGGATACGCTGTCATTGACTGTACCCCAGGCAAGTGTCTCAGACGTTTTTTTACAATTTGTTTTTCAGATGTATATTATTATTACATTGTAAATATGTAGGGGCCCCAGACCTTGTACCCGATGTTGCTCGACTGCGAGATTCGATGTTGGCTCGCCGCTACATCGATCGTCTACCCATCTACTACCTTCTGTGTGCCCTGGAAGAGGGTTGCCTATCCACCTCGGCTAATGACGCTCCTCAGACTAACGAAAGGTGACCATGTTTCTGATTGTTTCACAACAGTCTTATTCAGCCGTGTTCACCATTGATCTAGGCATCTACTGAGATTCGATAGCATGGCATGGAACTTGGGGATGGCAGATTTCAGGCCCATAACACTGATGAGTGAATGGGAGTGGCATTCCTGTCATAACCACTACCATTCCATGGAGGAGTTTGTTCACTACGATCTGTTTAATGCAACCACTGGGGAGAAAGTGGCAGAGGGGCACAAGGCTTCGTTCTGCCTGGAGGACAGTTTCTGCGGACTTTATTACTCCTCGAGATTCCACTGTGCTTACCACCAGCAGGGGATATCGGTTGGCTGTGCCGACATCTATGGGAGCTACTTGGACTGCCAGTGGGTCGATATGACTGGAAACTGGGGCCGGCGATTATATCCTGCAGGTTCACCTGAACCCAAACCGTCTTGTGGTGGAGAGTGACTACTCCAATTATATTGCCAAGTGCAGTATGACAATGACTCCTTATTACACATCCCTCGTAATGACAGTGAACAACTGCTGGCTTAGTGAGATCTCTGGGGGTATTTATACAGGTTGAGGAAGAGATCGAGAGGAGGAACACTGGAACAGTCACATCCATCAGTAATCATTGTACACGCATGCGCACTTCGCGCGCATTTTCTCGTATAAAAGGAGCATCGCACGCGCGCAGACAACGCGCGCGAAAGTTGGACGGACGATGGCTGAATTTCAGCGACTCGTGCACTCAGTGCTAGTCGCGGTGTGGCTCTGCACTGCTACTGGGGCTGCTGGATCTCCTCCAGCGGAGGGAGACCTACGTCTGGCGCACAGCAACCCGAACCTGCGGAGCTGCGGTCGAGTGGAGGTCTTTTACAACGGGAGCTGGGGGACGGTATGCGACAACAGTTGGCACAAACGGGACGCGGACGTGATATGTCGCCAGTTGGGCTTCGTGGAGGGATCGCGGTTCCGGTGCCACGCCGCATGCTTCGGGGAGGGCGAGGGGAAGGTGTGGATGGACGCGCTGGCGTGTCCTCGCGGCGGGGACAAAGTGATGCTCTGCGACTTCAAACAGTGGGGCGAGCACGACTGCACGCACGCCAACGACGTCGGCGTGTGCTGCAAGGGAGAGCAGGTTATTCTGGCTCCACTAGCCCAGACTGACGAAACTCGCGTACGCATCTCGTGTCCCTGCGCCGCCGACGGTCGTTGCCTGTCTTGTCCTGCGAGACTGACCCCGTCTCGGACAGAAGACTGCACTGAGCCTTCCTCAGCCGCGGTAGAAGGGATGGTAGAGGTCTCGTTCGGAGAAAAATGGATACCTGTCAGTGCTGGAGCGTGGTCTCCCGCGGCGGCACGCGTGGCATGCGGCGAACTTGGCTACCCGCTCGCTCTCGACACCTCCGTGATCTTTGCCAACGACGCGTGCACAGTGGAGGAAGGCCGGAGGCTCAAGGACTCCTCTAGTGGTGCAAGCCGGGTCGTCACGTCCGTGGAATGCAACGGAGACGAATCAATGTTGACAAACTGCAGTCTGGAAACTGGCCCAGGGTCGAGCACCTTCTGTGCTGCCAAGCTCGTATGTGGGTTCCTTGCTCCTCCAGATTGCCCTAATAGCAACCAGGTAAAATAATGTTTCGAAACGTGCACCAATCGCACCAATCGTGTGGTATTCATTGAAAGTACTATATAGGTTAATTTGTGTGCACAACATCTTAGAAGTGTGTGCAAACAAGAGCTGTGCATAGGCACTTACATTTTGGCATTACAAATCCCATGTCCTCATTTGCTCAGAACTATTATTTTGACTAGAATATTCCACGCAATGTTGGTTTAATCGTATTAGGTTTAGTTAAAAATGTGCTGCAATGTGATAAGCATGCACATACACCCGTTTTGCAGACCTGGGAATCTTCCCTTAGCTTTGTCAACTTGCACATAGCTGGAATGTTCTTGAATATACAGCAACTGCTGACTGGGGAAGGGAGAGGAAGTGACACACATTGTTTGTGTGTGGTGTGTTTTTCCTGCCATTCCTTGTGCAGGCAGTGAACAATCCACCACTGCCTGTTTAAGGAGTTGCATGAAGACTGAACCACACACACACTGTCTATATATCTCGCACAAACCCTGTGAGAATTCTGACTCTCCCCTCTCCCCTCTCCCCATCAAAGACTTTCGTGCCTTTGCTATGCATTCCAAACCAGAGAGCACCCCGGGCTGGCACTGAATGTGTGGGTGTGTGGACAGACACCAAAGACGTGTATAAAAAAATACAGGGAGGGTAGTGTTGGTAGAAAATGATATACAACTTTGTTGGGGGTTTTCTACTGCTTCACAGACATACAGACTCAGATCAGGTGCACTCCCGTGGGTGGGAAGGTTGGAGGTGAAAATCGACGGAAAGTGGGGGACTGTGAGCGACAATAACTTTGGGATGGCGGAGGGCAACGTCGCATGCCGAGCAGCTGGCTTTGGCAGTGCAGTTGCTGTTCAGAGTGGCTCACAGTACGGCCGTGGAATTGGACGAGTACACCATCATAATCTGCGGTATGTACCCTTCGTTAATCATTGGAGCTAGCAGTATGGACTTGCACTTAGCCTCCTTAGAACAAAAACAACATAGGATGGCATAAGAAATCATAATAATGATGTTTACTTTGATAGTGACTATCTACAAATGGTTGGTATATCATTCATGAGATCATGATACAAGATGGAATGCAGGCAGTCAACCGGCAGAGCCAGGGTGGGGTAGAAGGAGAGGCTGGCTAAGGCATGCTGGAGGAAGAAGGCATTGCTGGTGTGTAATCACTCTTTGACAAGTTGGAATTAGGGGGAGCGACCCCTGCGGTCTAAGGTGTGGCAGAGAGAATGATTACTAATTCAGCAAGACTTTAAGCTTAACCAACTTTCCATTCAATTATGAAGGTTTATTATTGAATTTAGTGTATTGGTAATGAATTGTCACTGCTGGTGGGAGGTATATATAGGATGTACACCACCTAGCAACTACTACAGGTAGGCAGATTGTAATAGACCATAAATTATACCACCTAGCCTGTATGACTGTGTATGGTTATTACTCTCGGCGCGCATGCGCAGTGAGGGTTACGTACGTACTTTGCCCTGTCTGTCCGTCTTTTGCCACGTTTTCTGCTACCTCGCGAACGAAGTGGCCAAAAAGCGATACAAACGGGTTCAGCGCTACACTGGCTTTATTTTTAAAATGGCGATTTTCGTAAAAGTGCCGCGTTCTAAAGTTATGGCGTGAAAACCAAGTGAACAAGCCAATATGCTAATTAGCACAGGCCGGGCCCGCTGGCTCTGTGTATCACAAGAAGTCACAACGAAGGGCGTGTATCGACTCCCGCATGCTATCTACTACTGCAGCTAGCCCGTTTCAGATTCTCCGCGAGCTACTAGCGGGAGACCGCCGACCCCAGCCCATTTTTAGCAGTACCGCGCATGCGCAGTTCGCCGAGGGTTAGCTAGCTAGCTTTCATTTACATGTACAAGTGTATGTACAAGATATTGATGCCATCGTTTATTTCACAGGTGTATTGGTAATGAGAGCTCATTGAGTGAGTGCTCCAGTACACCGGCCAGTGATGATCTTGACCATTCTGGAGATGTCGGAGTGCGCTGTCACAGCCCCAACCCATGCTCCTCCATACTGGTGAGCAACTTGGATCTAGTCAACTGTTCTTTATATCATGCTTCCGTCTGGTTGTTTCAAGCGCTTCTTTCTTCCCTACTATGTAGTGTGCTATGCTTGTCTACTACAGTATATGTACTAAAGTCGAGGAGGACACCCCTGCAATCATTACGTATAACCCCTCAATAAGGACATGTCATGACCTCACCACTGCTGTCCATATAAGATTGGTACTGCATACAAAGTTCCGTCACCTATTGCATGATAGTCTATGGACTATAGGTGGAGGTTGTGACGCGCTAAAGAGTTTCGTCCAGACATTAACTCCTATATACCCCCAAATGGAAATAGAAACACTCTCGATCGCACTGGCACTGGGTTTCTTTGTTGTGACTCGACGCGTTAGTGTCTAGTCAGGTCTTATTCCACGACAGTAGCATGAGAAAAGGGTGCAGCTACCGACCATGGGTTGCTAATTCCGTCAATGAGCCTGTGGCTACCTTGTCTATGGTTTTGCCTTGGACCGCTCTTCCACCGCACCATTGAATGATAATTAACAACGTGACTGCTCTCTAACTAGTTTGGATTAGAGGGGGAACACATTACCATGACTGCGGTCACGTTTAAATTCCACTTTGTTTCTCCCGCGACACCACAGAGACTGGCGCCAGGAGGTCCAGATTCAGAGAGTCAAGGATCGAGGAGTGGTCATCCTCAACTCACAGGGAGCCAAGGGCCGGGCCTCCTGTGTCCCGGAGTACTGGATGTACCGTCTGCCCGAGTCGCTTGTGCCAGCACCTCCGAGATGTTTCTGCAGAGTATGACGCGAGTGACTGCCCCGAGTAATGACACGACCAGCGTGTTCTACAGAGGGAGGATAGAGTGCGGCGGAGGGGAGGCTGATATCACCGAGTGCTCCGTTGATGTGGAGGCTGTGGCTCAGTGCCCACATGGTCTAGTGCAGGAGCTCACGTGCACCTCTTGTAAGTTTATAAAATTGTTACTACTGTACAGCAGGAAACTTTTGAGGGGAAACTCAGTCGAATTTAGCGGTTTTTAAAAATGTTATCTCCACGAACTTTTTGTAAGCGGGGACCAGCAAGTCTTCCCTGCGATATTAATGTTTGCTGTCATTGGGTGTTTTGTAGACATATATACATTAGCACCAACCACACCTCCACTAAAAGGCCTTCCGTGCTGGCTGTTCACACCAATAAGCGTGTGCGTGACTACGATATTATACTATAATAGTGTGATTTACTACAAGGTGTCTGCTTATGACATTATACCACGAGGCAGATGAATAATATATAGCTCTGTTGCTGTCTGTCTGCAGGTGTCCCAGACCTGGTCCCTGATCTGGAGTCATTCCGCAGCTCTCTTGCCCGGTACTCCTCCCCACTCACCTCCTATTTCCCAGCCATATCTCACACCCCCATGACCTTCCTCACTTGTGCCCTGGAGGAAAACTGCCTCTCCAGCTCTGCCAACACTGCCAGGAGCTCCGACTATAGGTATGCCTACATAGTACTGCAACTACAAGACGACCAACAGCTTCCAGTGACAAGAGTTGGGGCTTTTTAATCCGTTGTTTCCAGGCCTTTCCCCCTTTATGGACTGCAAACACCTTTCACACAATAGTGGCAAACTAACCCTAACTTTCATAGATAAGTCTCAGTCAGCGATATTTACACTAACTGTGAAAAATTCCCCCAGAAGCATTTGTTGGTGTGCAGACTGCAATACATGACTGTAAGCTATGTAAATCGATATGCTTTGTATCTCCCTGTAGAACACTTCTGAAGTTTGAGAGTTTTACCAACAACTGGGGACTGTGCCCCTTCCTGCCCAACCTGGACCGCAGCGACTGGATATTCCACGACTGTCACCGCCACTACCACTCCTTTGAGGCCTTCGTCGACTTCAACCTAGTCGACCCCGCCACGGGGGTCAAAGTTGCCGACGGACACAAAGCCTCGTTTTGTCTCGAGGACACTGTGTGTGCCGAGGGACATTCGCCACACTACATGTGCAGGCCGGACTCTGACCAGGGGATCTCGGCGAATTGTGGAGATCGCTACGGACGCTACCTGGACTGTCAATGGATCGATATAACAGGGGTCCCCTCAGGGACGTACCTGGTGAGCCAGCTGCTCAACCCGCATCAAGATTCCAGTGAGAGCGACTTTCGCAACAACGAAGTCACCTGTGAGGTGGAGCTGGTTGTCGAGGACTCCACGGTGGACGTCATTGATTGCTGGCAGTCAGGTGAGAGTAAAAGAGGTTCCACAGTCTGTAGTTGGTGGGGTATTATAGCTTCTGTGCCCAAGGTCCATGCAGAGATTGTGTTACAGCATGAAATTGATGAGCTGCCAACACTCTCTGAGCAATTGCTTCTCGCAATCACTTTTCTTCTCTCTCCACAACGATTTGGCGAGATTGTACAAAATGCAACAAAAATTTGACTGGTCACTTTCTCGCCAAAAAAAAGATGATTATATCTCTTCCTGTCCCTCTCCCCCTCCCTCTGTCCTCATAGATCACACATGAAGAATCACAACCACCCACCCTCATCGCTAACACCCACCTTTCATCCCAGAATTACTTATAATAAAAATCATCACTGCGCTCAGCTTTTCATTCAAATTCATTTTGTATAAAGAATTGTATATAATATACACATGCAGTATATATTACAAACAGCCAGAAAGATAATCGCCTAATGTAGCTATATAGTACAACATAAAGTAGTTCGTGGTTACTGAAAATCCCTCAAATTTTCGCTCTATGTTCCCATCTTCTGACCTGGGATCAAATTGAAGTCTCCTGTTCTTTCGAGGGCTGGCCGGGGTCTGCTGACATCTGCGGGGACACCCCTCGATGACGAAGACCGATTGCCTCAACCCTCTCCTCAATCTTCGTCGACTTGCTGGGTAGGTAATTGTCTGCATCGTCAGGGAGCTGTATGGAGTATTATAATTAGATTCCTTTTAAGAGCATGCTATGCAATTGACTTGCATACCCAGACACAATTCTTCTGGCATCACTGGACATCACCCAAGTATGAAGACTCACAAATTTGGTCAAGGACAACCTGTGCCATCAAGTACTACCGTACGTAGTGACAAGACTATAAGAAAATGCCCTAAAAGTCAACACAGGCTGTCTTGGATGCCGAGGTGAAGTGTCAGCTTCTTCAGCTCCCCTATTTAATCTTATGTGCTAAATTTTCGAGGCCAGGTTCAGTTACCGAAATCCACTGATTGGTGCTAAAAGTATAGTAGTACAAACTTCATCCCTCTCCCTCCGTCCCTCCCTCACCTCCCAGCAAATCTCGTCGTCAAAGAGGTGGTCCTCATCAACGTCATCCTCTCCCTTCAACTTTGGCAGGAAGCGAACTATTGCACCTGTACACACACATCAACTTTCACTATTAAATGCTCCGTCTCCTTGTAATAGCCCCAAGTGTGGGTGGGTTAGTGGTGGGATAATGGCAACAGTGGAGTAAATGTGGTCAACTATCTGCGAGATAGTAAACCCAGGAACACTACACACACATATGCAGGGGCAATCCCATTGCTACTCTTTGGGGGAAATGTGAAACTGTAGCTTCCCACACATTGCTCTTTCCACCTCTGACAGATAACTACAGTTCATCCCTCAATGGCAAAAAATAGCTGTTTTTCAGTCTGAAGAAGGTTACCCAGGACAGTATGGCGCACACAGCTCATAGAAGCCCCCACTACCCAGAGATAGCTATGTTTCTGGTGTTCCTGCCAACCCATAGCACTATGGTACACATGTAGCTCACCAGTGATGAGGCCTCCGATGATGGCAATGGCAAGAGTGGTAGCGAGACAGGCCAGCTGGTACCCTGCCTGCTCCCCCGCACTGCGACCGTCTCCCGTGCCAACTCCGAGACCGGCTTGGGCCAGAGTTAGTTCACCTTCGCTGCTTGGAGCCCTCGCTGGGAACACCACATATAGACTGGGAGGGAGAGAGGGAGGGAGGAGAAACAGGTAGGAAAAGACAGCGAGAGGGAGAGAATAGGTAAATGAAATCTTGTGCTAAGGTTATTTAAACACTGGGCCTATTATACATACACCTCACAGCATAATGATCCCTTTTTCCTTGTGAAAGATATATACATATGTGTACATGTGAAATTGAAACCACAAACTGACATTAACAAAAATAAACACAACACAATACTGTGCCATTGAGAGCGGATTCTGTTTGCATCTCACCTGTCGCCGTATTGAACCTTGTTTCCACCTCCACTGTAGCTGGCGAGAGCAGCTGCCACAAAGGACCCGAGGCCAGCAAACACCCCTGGCATCCCGTGGAGATTGTGAACACCACACGTGTCCTGGATGTACAGGTACTTCTCCAGCAGAGGCTGTTTGGTGGAGAATATATACACAAAATGATAACCACGTACTTCAAAATACATCACTATCTACAGTAGAACACGCTGTGCATGCGCGCCGAGGGTTAACTATCTGATGTTATCTGTTGAAGAAGGAAAGCGATCTGTGCCATTGTTTACGTGATTATATAATAAGTATGGTAGTTGGTGAGGTGTCTTTATTTCAGAGGTAAAAGAATGAAAGGGGAGGAAAAAAGATGCCCCTTTTAAAGAGGTGTCCTATTTTCAGCAGTACAATACACCCTTGACAGAGGTTCAACTGCAATTCTAATCGGCCCGAGACAGTACATGCCTGTTGTGGTGACTTACTGAAAGGAACTTGTAACCAAAGACAGAAATGAGGCCGGCAAGAAGACCGATGACAAGAGCTGCCCACGGCTGTATGACCATGTCTGCCATTGCACCTACAGCTACTCCTCCCGCCAGTGTGGCATTCTGGACATGAACCTAGTGTAGTGTGTGTGTGTGTGTGGTGGTGGTGGGGGGAGAACCAAGAGGAGCAGGGAGAGAGGGAAGGGAAGAGTAGGAGAGAATGAAGATGAAAAGCACACATAACGACAGAAAGTGTATGAAACGTTAAATGTATGAGAGGGGAGAAAGAAAGAGTGAAGGCAGAAAGAGGAGACTACAAAAGGGACAGAGAAAGGGAAGAAAGCAGAGGGAGAAAGCAAAAGGCCTGGAGTTAACCGAGGCCAGAAAAACAAAGTTTTCTGCTCACCATTGACAGTTTCCCCTTCTTCCTGTTGAACAGGAGAGAGAAAATGAAGGTTCCCAGGACGCTGGCAGTCATGGCATAGTAGGTGTTGATGACGGCTCGCGTCTGTGCATTTCCAGACGCCAGGACACCGTTGAAACTGGGCCAGAACAGCCACAAGAACAGCGTCCCTGAAGATGGAACAGGGAACGTCAAAACCTTCAAGGAGAAAACTTTTACAAGTCCGTGAGAATATTTCATGGATTTTTTTTGCCTCCGTGTTCAAATGCATGGTCCCGTGTCCACAGCAATACTTGTGGAGAATAGATGACGGCTTAAACTGTGAAATCCAAAAGGGTTTCTTCCTCTAACGTACGCAGTGTCTGATGACACAGCGAACGACAAAGCAGTACAAGTGTTGTCTTGCTTACAGAAGGAGGTTGGACAGTGTAAATGCGACTCAAAAGGAAAAGAAAATCGACACAAGAAAAGGAAGGACGGCTTGAGGGACCACCACGTAAACACAAAACAATGTGTTCACAAGCACGTGGGTCTCTATTAGGACTTTGACACTTAATCTATTTTAGTGAAAGCTTCTTGTGATCCTAAAGGTAGCAAGTATGGGCAACCTTCTACAACTGCTGATCGGCAAAAATTATGCTACTTGGTACTCAAAATGGCCATGTAGGACACAGAATAAAAATGTGGTCTAATCCACTATACCTATCATTGAGAAGAGATCAGAATGGTAGACTGAGGAGTTCTTTTCGTGGTCCTTGACATCCTTATTGTATAGCACCAGCGAGACAGCCAGTCCAAAATAGGCACCAAACGTATGGATGAGCATGGAGCCTCCGATATCGGCCGCCATGTAGACATGGACGTTGAGAGCTTCGTTGCAAGAGTAGAAGATGAGCTCAAAGAACGCGATGACGACGAGCTGGAGCGGAGAGGCTTTCCCGAGGACTGCCCCCATCGTTATTAGGACTGCAGCTCCAGCGAAATCAGCACCCACTAAACTGTTGGCAGTGGAACATATTATACGTATAGCACATTGAGATGCTTCACACATACATTTGAAATATAATAGTCTTAAGGCATCTGTGTGATGTTTATGGGTGTATATTAACGGCCAATATAAAATATACATCAGTGAAGGCAATTGATTATTTGACTGACCACTAAGGCCAGAAACCGACAACCTACACGTATCTCTCCAGTAACAAAGTTGATAATTGGGTACACAAGCTGGTATTGCACGGAAGAACGCACCCCAATTTATGTAATTTCACAAATTTGCTTGTCGTTTGCACTGCCACACCCACCCTGGTAGGGGGCAATTAGCAAATGGTTGCTAGGATAAGGCGCAAAGCGGTAACAGTGCAATAGTTGAGTTTTGTTGTCTGTTATTACAACTAAATTCAAAGCTTGAGCTTCGGTTGCTAAAAAAGGACTTATTCTGATAACTTACTCTCCGGTGGCCCACAAGCCAAGTTCCACGACAGTATATGGAGCATACTGGCACACATGGGTGCCAACATGGTGCTGGCCATAGAATATGGTGCACAGTAGTGGTAGGGTGTGGCAGTCTTATCAACCATAGACATGCCCCAAATGTCTTTATACTAGAGCGAACACAACATATTTGGGGCGAGCAAAGCAAAGCCGTTCAATTTTTAATGCGTTTTCACACGTATTCAGAATCACGTATAAAATTAAGGTACATGTGCGGTCTCTGATGTACAGATGATAAAAAAGCACACATTCAGACGACTAGGGAAGCTCCCTTTGCCCACCAATTAGCATGCACATCATCCTAAGGCACTAAACATCCTGAGTAAAGATAGCATGGCATGGCCCACCAATGCCACTCGTGGTATTTCTTCCACATGCACATAAAATATGCAACTGGATTCAACGATTAAAGAGCGATGGACTGACTTGATGGACCGACTTTAAATATGAATTGACTGCAGACCGCCTTAGTTCCCAAACATTTTCATTGTGTTTTCGCAATACGATGATAGCACTATCAGATTTTAGTAGCTAGACTCCCAAAATTGGGCACTAGCACACCACATGTCACTCAGCCACACAACTAATCCACACTCTAAAAGAACACCAATGCATTTCAGCTGCGTACTCTCACCTCTACAAAATCTCGGGCATACCCTAATCTCTATACCTGCAATCACCATTGGTACTACTATGAAACTAACAATTGGGGAGTTATGCACATTTCACACACAAACATTGTGCTACATTGTTAAACTCGTACACTAAATGACTCAAAGACAGCGTACGTTTCCAGGTTGACGTTGATGGTACAGCAGTCCCCATCATCTGATTGGTCGATGAACTGGAACACTCCGGACGTGAGGGTGGACCACTGGATGGCAAATGAGGCGAGGAGGAGGTTGAACGATATGCTCCCGAATCCATAGCGACGGAGAAACGTCATAAGAAAGCCGAATCCGACAAATATCATTACATGGACATCTTGGAATACTGGGAGGAGGAAGGGAGGCGAGAGAGGGTGGGGAGTTCTCTTAAAAGAGGAAAGTGGCAGGCTATTTTGTCCAGGTGACAACTGCTACACTCACTAAGGGAGGTTTCCCTTCTGCACTGTGTGGTCTAATAATCATATATACACACTCACAGACAAGGGCTACTACAACAAGGTTTCTGCAAACACTACTCTATTTGTGCAACATGCCATGCCATGCCCTAAGAAATAATGTATCCTGCAGATTCACAAACAACTATGTATGTAGGAGAGAATGAGGAGACTATCAGACAGAATAGCAGCCCTTGCCTTGGCCAATACCAACCAATGGCCGCGTGCTGATATCTGCCAACTAGTAGCATGTGTATGAAGTGCCGTTTGTCTCAGAACTACTTTTTTTGGGTCAAGCCTAAACGTCGCGTGAATTTACGTAAATATCGCGAGAGTTTAGCTAAACCTCGTGTGATTATAGCAATCGTCGCACGACTTTAGGCAAACACCGCATGACTTTAGCATCCATCATTGAAACTGGCATTACTACAGCTAAAAACCCATGCATTTGGCTTTGGTCGTCGACGTTAGCTAAATATCGAAGACGAATGAGTAACGCGAATAATCGACAACGGATCCAAAATCTGCAGAGTATAGCCCTACAGGCATGCGCCGATTAGCTAAAGTCATGCGCCGATTAGCTAAAGTCATGCGCTGATTAGCTAAACTCGTGCGACAATTGCTAAAGTCATGCGCCGATTAGCTAAACTCGTGCGACGATTGCTAGAATCATGCGAGATTTAGCTAAATTCTCGCGATATTTACGTAAATTCACGCGATGTTTAGGCTTGGTCCAAAAAAAGTAGTTCTGAGACAAACGGCACTTCATACATGTGTGCCAGCATACCTAGTACCAACCATCCAGCCTTTTGCGTGATAAATACTGCTTATCCCACCAGAAAATTGCCAAACCCCGCTTTTTTTTGCTTACCTGTGATGCATCGTGCCTATACATTTTGAATGGACAGAGCATTTTCAAGCAAAATACTCCAAATCAAGCAAATTCGACACATTTCTCAAGCAAAGGTTCGTCTGCAGGTTGGTAGGTATGCGTGTGCACCTAAAACGAAGGGCGGTTCGTCGTAAAGGAATATCCACAGCATACATACAGTTGAAAAGTATTGTGGGAACCACTTGTATTGTAGTTTCCCCAGTTCGCGCCCAAGCTGCTACAACGCCATGTTGCCGCGGCAGGCAGGACTGCTACGCTACGAGCATAAAAAATGGGTGTAACAGACAACTTTGCAGCTTGCGCCTCAAGAACAGCCAGCTGGCTTTTATACAGGTATCCGCCATAACTCACACGGATACACTTTGAGCGCGCTCCGAGAGCTGCCCAGCTCGCTGATGTCCTGGACGGTAGTGTCGTTGCTGGTGATGGGTGCTCCGGTATCGTCATAGCGCACCAAGAGGCCGTAGAGAATGATGAAGATGACTTGGAACACCAGCAGGAATCCCGGGAGCAACATTTTCGACCAGTCCATTTGTGCGTAATGACTAAACTCACAGAAAAACCACCTTTTTGGGAGTACGCTACCGGTGTGTGTCGATGAGCGCGCTGCCGGGGTGTTGATGAGCGACTAGCGCGCGAAAGGCCGGCTTTTAATTAAGCCCGCGCGTGCGAACTCATGCGCATGCATAACCACAAACATTAGTTGAGCTTGCAGTTGTACAAAAGCAAAAAACGTCGACGGAAATCTCAAAAGTGCGAGTTTGCCAATCGCCACATGAGTCTCTTCTGGTAGCTGGGTCGGAGGGCCACGACGGGGATGGGCTCGAGTGGCGCTCTCTCGTCGCTCGACGAGTCGCTGTCACCGTCATACCCTGCGTCTACTCCGGTCACCAGGGTACAGCTCTGACTGCGCTGTCTCTCCATCTGCCAGTGGTAGCCACAGCACAGCTTCAGCCTGCTCGACAGAGACTCCTCGAGTTTCTGGTTACCCGACTTTCGTCCAGTCAGCGTCCGGGAGAAAGCATCAGGGTCATTTGGTCTATCTGTATATACCACAGAGACACAACATGTGCACGCGTAACACCAGAGACCAAGATAATAATACACACAATTCGTAGGCAAACAGATATGCAGATGTGTATGTTTAAAAATGGAAGACCAAAGGCATATTGTATGTAGGCCTGTACGCATTTCACTTCAGCAAGGTGCGCACATGGGGATAAGCTAGTTTGTCAGGCTTGTAGTGGGAAACAGGTCAGCTTGCAGCAAATACCTACAACTGCACTACAACTGGTAGTAATGCAACTCATAGTAGGGCACTTTAAATCTAGCCACACCCTACCACCATACCGTGTAGCATACCATGTATGTATAGCGAGACACTTTCGAGGGACAAAACTTTCGCGAATTTCACACTTTTATTAGCCTTCTGTGAGAATCTTCTCTGTACAATTTTGTAGGCAGGCAGTGGGGATATTTATATTACAGGACCAGTCGATAAGCAAAAGTCGCATTTGCTACAGAAACACATTTTCTCCGTCGAAGCTTTCAGCTACAGGTATACGGTAGTTTAATCCAACCTCAAAATATGAATTCTGACGAGGGAGGATTACATACAAAATCGGGCATTTTGAACCACTAGGTAGGCTCGCTTTGCTTGCCAATTAGAACAAAAACCATGCAGTAAACTTGACCATAATTGACATCAAATGCAACGTACATGTCTTTGGAGGGAAGCAGTAGTGCAGGGTATGGAGGTGATTCACTCCGAGTGACTTTATATCCTTCTCCTCCTCGGTGGAGAGAGGGAAGACCTCGTGCACCACGTGTGGTGGGACCCGAAACGCAATCTCCAGCGACCTCCCAGCTCCGAACCGTCCCCCGGGGTCGAGGTCCGCCTCACAGAAGTGTAACGTGTGCGGCAGCAGCTGGAGAACGTCGCAGACCTTTCCCATGAAGTTTGAGAGCTCCTGAATACTCGCGCCGGTTTTCGGGGCCAATCTGTCGTCGACCCGCATCACCACCAAACTTTCGGTTCTCAGGCGCAGGTAACCGTACGCGTACGACGGGACCTGAAAGACGGAGCGTTTCGAGAACACGCGACTGTAGAACAGAAACGTTTCGAGCTCTTCTCGATCCTCGTCCGTGCCCAGCTCGCTAACCAGGTGCTCCAGAACGCCAGAGTTGAAGAAAGAGATGTAGTCGGAGACCGTGAGGATCAAGTCGTCGATCGATGTCAGGCTCTTTATCTCTTTAGATCGATGCTCCAGTAAAGGTGCCGGGATCCCTCGGGTGGGGTTATAGGCCTGTATATCGAGGAGACATTTTGCGAAGGAGGCAGAAGACACGGAGCGAGATTTGAGCGAGGCGATGAGACGATTCATGAAACTCCCCACCCTCGCTACCATTTCGTCGCTCTCGGCTTTCAACCGGAGCATCACTACGTGTGAAACGGCGGGGGAATTATAGGGGAGGAGCTGTGGATTCCTCCTGGTTTCAGATACGGCGATACGCACCACGAACGGAGTGATTCGACCGCAGGCGCAGTCAAACGCACAGCGAGGCATCCTGTATGGGGGAGGAGAGCCGGGTGGAGTGGGCGGAGGCTTGGGATAGTTCGTGTCGGGGAAGATGGGCGGAGGAGGCTTCTTCGGTGCTAATCGCTTGGTAGGTGCACCTCGTTTTCCTACCATGACGACAAGAGACCTGTCTGGTTGGGGCTTCTTTGGACCTAGGAGGAAATATGATCATTTCCCCATCAAAATGTAAACAGGTCTATAGGTATTACTGGATCTGTACTCTAGCATTTAGACCGATACATGATGGAAAAGTCCAAATTTTACACACACTTGAAAACACTTCCACATGTGTAAAACGTGCAGTACATGTACATGTACAACGGGTATTACTGTCTATGAATACTCCCTAAGCACGCATTTAGACCCGTACATGCATGAAGGAACAATCCAAAAACACTTCGGCCAGTGTACATATATCGTATATACACGTACAAGCTTACATGAAAGCAAATGCCACACACACTTGTAAAAACTTCCTCGTGTGTGTGTGTGTGTGTGTGTGTGTGTGTGTGTTTGTGCGTGTGGTCCTGCCTCTTTCTTTCTGTTTATATGTTATTGTCTGTGTTTTTGTATGCTTGGGTATGTTATTGTCTGTGTTTTGTGTGCTTGGGTGGGGGAGGTTCTTTCTTTTCCTCTGAGCTAGTATGCTATAAACATGTTTTTTCATGTGTACACATGAACTGAGTTTTTTCAACTCACAATTGTAGGTTTCTCTGATCTTCTTGCCCAGTGCTCGCTGCCCGGCGTGGTCGAAGGCATCCGCCAGTTTGGCCCAGGTTGGGTTAGGATCTTTCTCCAGCCAGAGGTCCACGATTTCTTCCCTGGCCTTCTCCGCATCCCGTGGGTACTTGTCCTCCAGTGCCATCAGTTTGCTGAATCGAACACCAACCTGGGAGCAAAGGGTGGGAGAGAGGGAGGGGTGGTAAGAGAGAGAGAGAAGTAATAGAAGAACACAGGTAGATAGACAATTGCAAAGCTGCGTAGTGTCCATAATTTTAGGAGGAAATGAATGCGTACACTAACAAATTTTGGTGTGTTGTACAGACATTATGTCTACACATTATCTGTGCGAGCATGGCACGATACGGTACAGATATATGTAACTGAGGTATACACAATTGCCCCTGTCTGTCCTCAAACCCTCTCACTGACAGTTCATGCAAGTGCTGTATGTGTACAAGCGAAACACCCACCTTCTCCCCAACACTAAACCAGTCATTGAGATCTTTCATCCACTTCAGGATCTCCGGTGCTGTTGGCTTGTCGGTGTTGCCACCTGGGTGGCAGACAAATTTTCACAAGATTACCCGTACATTCCTATTCACCTTGGTGGGTGGGACAACTTTGATTTGCTTTCCCCTAGTTTGCCCTTTGCCTCCTATGAGGTTCTAACTGCCAGTACATACGACCTACAGACTAGTGCATAAGCGTCTATAGTGTACAAATCAGAGTGCAAACTCACCGCTAGCCTCGATCTCTTCCGCAGCAGCACGCCCTGTGGGGGGCCGTCCGCCAGTGTCTATATAGACCTTTGACCCGGTCTGTTCCTAATTAATGCGCACCATAAGAAACCGACTCTGCACGGCCGGCATGGCCTCGGGCATGGCTGTGGCTGAGAAAGGACGCTCAGACTTGGGGAAGGAAGTAGAGGAAAAATTGCACGAATTCATTACATACCTCAAACAAAAGAAGTAAGTTTTCCTGCACTATGGCGTATAAATTTGGGTCACGTGTGTCTTTCGTGCAGCCCCCACAGCTCGTATGACGTGGCTAAGAGGACTGTCCTGTTGTTGAGAGAGGTTTGCTCCAAGACCAGATGGTACAGTGCAAGGTGTGTCAGATACCCACCCGGTGTGGTGCTCATGCATTTTGGAGCATTTCTTGCACAGGGACCTGATTACTAACATTCGTGCAGCGGGGAAGAAGCTGATAGCTGCCCAACCAAGTGGTACGCTGCAGTATTTTGCTTGTCCATGTCTTCATTCACATCTCTTTCAGAGAGTGCCGTGGGCAACATGGTTAGGAGAGGTAAAGATTGAGAGTTTTTTTCTCTTAATACTGCCTATGTGTTTCTCTATAGTGCTCAAGATAGTGAGGGAGGAACATGCAAGGTACGTATACAGCTCCATTTGTTATCTTTACAGAAGAGCTTACGTGTAATCGTTGCTTCTGTTGTTAACAAGCAACTATTAGGTTTGTGGCTAGTAATGTCGTAGTAGGTCAACTCTTGTTGCAATTCGCCAAAGATGCATTGTGTGATGTGTGCTATGTTCACTCTGTGTATACAGTTGTGTTGCAGGATCAGTGGATGAGGTGGATGTGAGAGTAAGTCACTTGCACACGTCCTTCTTGTCTCTCTCTCTAAAATACTGTTTGGGCCATGAGCTCCTAGTTTTGAAGTTCCCTATGCAAGAGTTTGGGGCAGAAAATTTGTTTCACTGCAAAATTCTTATCTGCTAAAAAAATTCAAGTTTTGTTGATGAAAATTTCATCAAAGGTATCTTGAGCTGTTCCATACTCCCACGCACCCCCAGGCACTGCTCCAAGGCAGAGACGACAGTGACGATCTCAGCAGACAGACACCTCACCTGAAGGTTTGGGAGATGTTGACTAGCACTAAGTTGTACTATAGTTAATGTGTGGGTCCTCTCTTTGCAACACAGGGCTCTGTTATCGAGATCATCAATGACCTCCTCGGTGAATTGGAACTGAGGTACATGTACACTATAATTATAAAGATTTGCTTAGCATATCTCTGGCCCTTCTCTTCTCTTCTCTCTTCCTTACACTTTTTCTCTCTCTTTCTTCCTCTCTTTCCCTTTACCTCCTTTTCCTCACCCTCCCTATTTGGCCTTACTCTCCTCTCTCTCTCCTCTCTCCTTCCTTCTCCCCCACCTTCGTCCCCTTCCATTTCACGTCTTCCCTCACCTCTCCTCCATCCCAGTGCCTCCAACATTTCGTCCCAGGCCCCAGACCATATCCACTCCAGTGAAGTCCTCATGACCACCGGCTACTCTAAGACCGTGGAAGCCTTTCTGAAGGTCAAGCCACACACACACACTACACTAATATAATAGTCCTACAGTCTCAGCGAGTTTCCAAGACTCTATCAACAATGTGGGCTGCTACAGTGCTTTTACACATCCATAATGCCATTGCTAAGCATTAACTCAACAACGAACAATCCGATGCTACGTTTGTGCTTCAAATGGACTGCACCTATATACTCTCGTGCACTAGAGAAGGTTGGCAGCAGTGAGCTGCATGTCAATGTCACAGCAAGGGTGTGGCAGTGGACATACCACATACACAATAGGTGTATGAGTGTGTGTGAGGGTGTGTGGGGGGAGGGGGGTTTGGGGAGGGGAGCTACATGTCAATGTCACAGCAAGGGTGTGGCAGTGGACACACTACATACACAATAGGTGTATGAGTGTGTGTGAGGGTGTGTGGGGGAGGGGGGTTTGGGGAGGGGAGCTACATGTCAATGTCACAGCAAGGGTGTGGCAGTGGACATACCACATACACAATAGGTGTATGAGTGTGTGTGAGGGTGTGTGGGGGGAGGGGGGTTGTAAGTACTGTATGTCTTGATTCCAATCTTCTTGTGGGTAAAGATGGGGTGGTTGGTACTCTATATTATACAGCAATACATTTGGTGTGCTGACCACTGACCAGAGGATCTCAAGGCATAAAACAGCAGTCGAAAAATTGTCGGTTATCAAATTGTCCAAACAAAAAGTATCAGACAACTATGTAGCTTTTTCAGGTTCCTACTGTATTGTACACTGTCAGACACAACTTTCTTTCTCCCTCTCTCTCTCTCTCTGGCAGGCTGCGGCAAGGAAACGAAAGATAGAGGTGATAGTAGCCGAGTCGGCTCCGTTCTATCGTGGACAGGAGCTGGCCAAGAACCTTGCCGTGGCTGGAGTCGAGACCATTGTGGTCACTGACTCTGCCGTCTTTGCCATCATGTCTCGCGTCAACAAGGTACACACACATTGATTGCTGGTTGAATATAGAACTGTTTTTATTTCGTGTACAGGTTATCATAGGTACACACACAGTAATGGCCGACGGCAGGTAAGAAGAGTATTGTATAGCAGTTCAAGAGTGTTCTTTTGTCTGTCTGCAGTCTAAAGGCAATCAACGGTAGCTATGCCCTCTGTCTGGCTGCCAAGAGACACTCAGTCCCTGTGAGCTTCACACTCATACACGTGTCAATACGTGGTGCAACTTTGTTGTTGCGTGCAGCAAATATCTCGTTCAACTTCAATGTATGGGTATCATAGATCCATGCACCTTGTTGTGTGTGCAATAGAGAGCACTTATAAACGTGGACCATCACAATCCTTACATTGAAGTTGAATGACATATTGGCCACCTCCACTCATTTCATGAACTTTTACACTTTTAGTATAAAGTCTTGAGCGTTCTTAGGTTTGTATTGTACCACTGAAACTGACTGTCTGTGTACTCGTGCAGGTGTTGGTGTGTGCTGCTCTCTTCAAACTCTCTCCACAGTATCCCTGTTCATACGATCACGTGAGTGAACCCATCTTCAGCAGATTGCATTGTCTGCAAAGTGACCACCTGAAATTGTCCCAGGTCACCTGAAATTGTCCCTGGTCACCTGAAATTGTCCCAGAGTCACCTGAAATTGTCCCTGGTCACCTGAAATTGTCCCAGGTCACCTGAAATTGTCCCAGGTCACCTGAAATTGTCCCTGGTCACCTGAAATTGTCCCAGGTCACCTGAAATTGTCCCAGAGTCACCTGAAATTGTCCCTGGTCACCTGAAATTGTCCCTGGTCACCTGAAATTGTCCCAGAGTCATATTTTTGCCAGCTGACTTTCCCTTAGATCAGAGAGTGAACATTTGAATGCCTTTGGTTACCCTGCTGTGGTGCCTGCTGCATCCTTTAGATGTTCCATTAGTAGAGCTGATGCACGGTGGAACTCCTGTGTGTAAAAGTGCTGTCTTGGTTTTTTTCCTTGTTTTAGCCCTACCCACAAGACTCGTTTTATTGTTTATTGCTTGCACTCTTACAGTGGGTTGTGTATTAGTTCTGTTAATGCATGAACTCAAGTATTATGTATGTTCCACAAGAGATGGGCCGAAATCCTGCAATATACAAAATGTGTTTAACATTATTGTGTGGCCGGTAAGTAACGATAAACGGCATTCTCTGCTCTCCACTCAACAGGACACATTCAACAAGATAGTGTCCCCCCACGACATCCTGAGGTTCAGCGAGGGGCAGCTGGTGTCCAAGGTCCACGTTCAGAATCCAGTGTTTGACCACGTCCCACCCGATCTCATCACTCTCTTTGTCTCTAACATGTGAGTTAGGATCTCACCTCTTATATTGTTATATATACCTCCCATTACGACTGTTGCATGTGTTAGAGGCCTCAAGGCATGGGGTAAGCAAACACAACTACCGCTCTATTCCACACACCAGTGAGACAGAATAATAGTGGTGTCCTTTTTCAGGGGTGGAATTGCATGCAAGAACTTGGGGAAAGTAAAGGTATCCTTGTTGTGTTCTCATCAGAGGTGTCCTTAGAGAGGGCTCCACTGTATCAAAATGGCTGATTGCACCAACAAAAATTTACTACGCTGTATGCAATGATGTGTGAACAAATAATTATTAGTATACGTACAATACCAACTGTATTGAATGCCACACTCTTATCAAAGCAGTATATAGACAGGAATTAAATGAGCTGTGTTATTGTTTTTCCTCGTGATCACACACACAATATACACTCTGCAGTGGAGGGAATGCTCCGTCATACGTGTACAGACTCATCAGTGAACTCTACCATCCAGACGATCAGGAACTTTAATAGCATTTCACACCTCTAACATCCTTTCACGGTGGCCATGCTTTTGTTGAACCTTCTTCAAAATGTTTGAATTAATCACAAGCCAACAAACAAGGCAACAGACGACACCGGTACGCAACCGAGCCTAGGAGGGCGTGGGCATAAGACTAGCCAACATTAGTTTGCCTCTACTCTAACAGCCCGATGTGAGCAAGGTGGAGATTTCTAAGCAACTTGCGTATGTTTGAGAATCAACACTGATTTTAGCTGCAACTAACAGGGATGACCTGGTCCCCACATTCTCCCATTACGTACTATATATATATACCCCCTCCCTACCATTTAGAACCGTCAATGTCTTGCTGCCACACACCACCAAAGTATCGTGTCACATGAAAACAATGTGATAAAAGATTACAGTTAATCATAATAGTGTATAATATACGATCAGGACTACAAATAATCGGGTGGCCAGAGATTGCGAGATGCACTAGTACAATGGCTGGGCTCCACTCTCTTCGAATCTGGCATAGGCATCGTTGAGTTCATCGAAAATGGCACGAGCCAGTGTCTCATGTTCTGTGTCTTGGGCCTGGGTGTGTGTGTGTGTGTGTGTGTGGATGTGTATAAAAGGTATAAAAGGGTAGTATAGTGTTTTTTGAGGGTTTATTATTTACTATAAGTGAAGGGATTTGGTGGATTCTTACACAAACAGAAGGTGGATTGATGACCACTTGAAAGAAGAAGGAATGCAAATGCAGAAAAGAGAGAGAGAAAAAACAAGCATGCAAGTGGCTGGTGAAGGAAAGAACAGTAGGTACACGTTGTGTGTGTGTGTGTGTGTGTGTGTGTGTGAGGGAGAGGTTTACCTTGTCGGGGTGGACAGAGAGGCAGGCCTTGCGGAACATCTTCCTGACCTGGGGAACAAGCGCGGCACACCTTACACTCAACATGAGACTCAACCATAGAGGACAAGTATGTCCCAGTGAGCGGTGCGGCCCACTCCCATGTTCTTACCACACTCATTACACTTGTTAACGTGTGATTGAAAGGGCCACAAAGTAAGGCCGCAGCTACACAGCTACAATACACACACACATGCACACTTTCCAATACTTCCAATCCCATACTAACTACAGTGGAACCTCTCTAATCATACTATGGGACAGGAAAGTGTCCATATTAGAGAGGTGGCCTTTTGTGTTCTTCTACGAAAGATTCCACTGTATTCTGGATTTCACCAAGCACTCACGAGATTCATGTTGAAATTGCAAAACCTCTTACTAAAATGACACTGAAACATTATAGAACATTAGTGTAGTGCCTATAATACATGTAGTAAAGAAGCACATCTATAAATTAACATGGACGGCAATGTGTAAGTTCTGACCTGGTCGGGCTGGATCAGTTGTTGCATGCCACACTCACTCCAGCGAGGCTCTCCCTCCCACAGTATGGTGTGGAGGGAGCTCAAGAGTGCCCTGATGTTCCTCTCTTTCCCTTCCGCCCAGTCCCTTACCTAGGTATGTACATAGAGGGTTAAGTATGCACGCATATAGAGGGTTAAGTATGTATTAGAGGGTTAAGTATGCACGCATATAGAGGGTTAAGTATGCATGTACTGTACATAGGGCATAAGTATGCATGTACATATATGGTCACTTTGGAAGTGGGAGACAGTTGAATAAACATATGTAACTCTTTTGAGGCAGAAATTTCACGTCAATGTATGGGTATATGTATGTATGGTGGGTCGATACAACATGTCTCACGAATGTAGTGCGTATTGCTTTGTTTCAGGGACCCATCATAGTACATACATATGTACATCGAGTCCCACCCACGGCAGCTCTTTTTTCCTTTTCTTTTTTCTTTGTGTTATTAATATGCCCTTGCCTTGTGTTTACACCCTGCGATTCTATGAAATTGATACTACAGCAGAAGTTCTACTGGTTTCGTAGTACAAAGCCACAAAAACATCAAACACTTGTAACAGAGAGGGGTGAGGTGAGGCATACCCTGGCTCTGTCGGGGTCAATGGAACCTTCAATGTCGCTCTCTTTCCTCATGTCTTTGAGAGTCCTCGGTCCCGGGGCTGGCTTGCTGAATCCCTGAGAACTCAGGAGATCACTGAAATCATCCTTCTTGAGGGGCTGACGCACACCTTCGGTAGTGAGAGAATTAGTGGTCTTCATTAAAGGGGTCTTCATTATGCATGCAAATGCAGAGAGGGAAGCAAATGGTTACTAACTTTCTAATAGTGTCAAAATATCAAGATATACATGGATAAGGGCGCACAATATGTAAGTGAAGGTCGAGAGTTCATATGTTGCACAGACAACAGAACAGAGTCCCATAGCATGGCAAGTCGACTACAGTTGTATTGGGAGTAAGATGATGTTCTCGGACTGTATAAATAGCTCGCACCCACAAACGTGCAAAGAAATTTCCTACAGTAAACACTGACCCATCTTTGGGCGAGGTCCCTTCTCTCTGCGATCTCCCAGAACACTACTGGAGTAGTTTGGTTGGTAGGACGTCTTCCCTCCTGACTGCACCGAGCCTCTTCCACCTGGTTTCTTGCTCGTCTGGCCAGCTGCTCTCGTCTGAGCCGTCGTCGCCGCTGTCTGTTTCTGGTTGTAGTACTGGTACCCAGGTCTGCCGGTCGTGGCTAGAGGAGCTGTATGTGGCTTTGAGGGCGATTTGGTTGGACTCTGCCCCCCTCCCACCTTTACGTTGCCCAGATCGGCAAACGGGTCGCCCCGATTACTGCCCCGCATTCCACCTCCTCCGCGTCCACCCATTTGTTGCTGGAGATGTTCCGTTGACTGGGAGTGATGTCCGAGAACCGAACTCCCCGACACGAGATTCAGGCCGCCACCAAATGGTGAAGTTCTACCACCAGAAGAGAAACCGTGGGTCATCCCCGAGTTACCCTGCTGCGCCGACATTGATCTTCTGCCGCCGTGAGAACTGGCGGTCGGAGATTGAGGGATATTGGAGAGTGTCGGGGTAAAAAAGGCTCCATTCCCACCGCTTAGGGAGGAAACATTGGGGGCACTCGAGTGGAAATTGTTTCCTCCGATGTTTGGGCTGAGCAGCGAGGAGCCACCGGTGTGCTGTGAGGACGAAGAAGGCGCCGGCTTCAGAAGACTCTCTGAGCTCCCGCTGTGGCCGAAAGCTCCCGGATTTCCAAACATATCTCCTCCACTTCCTCCACTGTTTCTGTGACCACTGCCACCAAACGGGTCAAACTGGTTAGAGAACGTGCCGGGAGCCGGCGAGGGGGAGGAACGGAGTGAACTCGACTTCTTTTTGAAAGCCTCGGTCCCCACGGTCCGCACCTCTGACTGCTCCGAGTCTGACGGAGGAGACAGGTTATCCTCCAGGTCAAGAAGGTTCATGGAGCGAGCCGTCGCCGTCGGACCCCAGGGGTCAAAGTCGCCAAATGTAGATTTCTGGTGCGGGGCAGGGATTGCGGTTTGGGGAGGGGGTCTGAATTGGGGTTGCCCCGGTTCGTTATCGTCATCACCGTCGGAGTCTGATTCGGAACCGAACTTGATGAGGGTGGGGCCAGTGGTGTGGGGTAGTCCTCCACCACTGGTACTGCTGCCATTCAACTGGGGCTGGGGGAGAGAGAAGGGGTGGGCATTAAATAGAGAGCCTGATGATCGTAGGTGTACAGTATCATCAATTGGGTTCCGCTAAGAGACCAGCATGTATGGGGCAGCAGTATGGGCTACTGTACTTGGTTTGTATGTCTGTCTATTACCGCTATTCTGGGGCACTACAGGCTACGCCCGAGGCAGTATATATGTACATACATACAGTACATAAGATCAATGCCACATATTGTGAACCCAGCTCAACTGACCATGGGGGTGTGGTTGGTGTGAGTCGTGCCAAAGGGGGACTGGCCAAACATCTCCTGGTTCCCCTCCTCCTCTGAGCTACTACTGCTCTCGTCGCTGTCACTCTCTGATTCCCCTGCGAATGCCGTGTAGCCCGACTCCCCGCCTTGCCAGTCCAGCCGAGAGAAGAAGTCCTTGGCCGACTGGGGAGGCTGTGGGGCAGTAGTAGTGGTTGCAGCTGGTTCTGGTGTCTGCTCTTGAGGAGGTCTCCCTCCGTTTCCCCCAGTTCCCTGGTTCTCAGGGTAGCCCCCTTGTTGCCGTTGGTGGTGGTGGTGCGGGTAGAATGCCACGTTTGGTAGCTGAGATCCAACGCTCATGTCACCTGCAGACAAATGAAAACGGTGGATTTCTTCTGAGCCCTGAGGTTTCAGCGCATCTGAGTGACAATTGAAAGGATTGGGATATCGAAACAGTGACACACACACTTACATACATCAGTCTTACTATGATAAACACATTTTCACAAGTGATTTCTCACGAGCCTACTGAACAGCGCATAATTTTTATCTTGTCTGCCGCTGTCCTCAATACGCAATACTCGTAAATCAGCTAAGTTTCGCACTCACGTTTTACTAGCCAAAAATATGCAGGAAGCAATTGTAAGCAGGTAAGAATTTCTCTGGCTCTTCACGGAAAGTGTGTAGCTATGTGGTACAAGGAGCCTACAGCACTGAAGAATTAGAACTCACAGAACTGTTTCATTATCTCCTCCTGTTCGAGGAGAGAGGAGAAGGCAGGGAGAGGGGAGGAGGTAGGGTGAGGAAGATTCTGCCACGAGATACCCGGGCTGCACGGCTCCCCACTCTGGTCCCATTCCAGTCCCAGCAGGACCTGGAACGGGGACGGAAACCTGTCCTCCTTCTTGGACACTATCCCGTCCAGCTCATGCCTGCAGGGACACCGTACAACAGACAACTTACACAGTATGCTAGAATACTCTTTGAGGCAAAGTTTATCACTAACGAAAGTTTTCTTCTTTCAAATTAAGTATTGTGTACCAACAAAAGATACACGCATACAATATAGCAAACTTTGTGCAAGTGCTAGAAACAAGAGTATACCTCTCTAAGTTGAGTGTGTTGCTGGAGGGAGGGACGAACCCAGTGTGGAACTGGAATTGGAACATTCTCACTGCCGTCATCCCCTGCAGTCAGAGATCAGAGAATGTCACAGCACATTCACTCGTCATTGTTACATATGTACTGTACATACATCACTAGGGGTTTATGTAATTATACATTATGCGTAGTTGCACGGCTCGCATGTTCATAGATTCAAGCATTCATTAAGCACAGAATATATTGTATGGACATGAAACAGCAACGGTACAAGAAAAGAAAGACAAAAAGCAACAAACCCACTGTGTAGCCAAACTCATGTGTATAATACAACATAATATCTTTAAACAGAAGAAAAGAAGAAAAAGGGACAAGAAAGTCACAAAGCAGACACAAAAAGTAGAGGCTCACCAGGTTTGCCTTCCGGCCAATGGGGATGGCCCTGATGTGATGAATAATAACCTGCACGTTCCCTCTGACCTTTGTACCCAGTGGCACCAGGACTCCGCCCGAATCGGAACTGAAACTCTGGATCTGGTCCATGGTGTCGTGGGACGCGGACGTGAACACTCTCTCCCCGTTCTGAAATACCTCCACAAACGGCTTGCACCCTGTCCTATAGGACAACAGTAATGACTAATATGAACAGTAATGCCTTAATAGAACAGTAATACATGTATTTTTACTGGCAAGGTCGTCAGAAATGTGATCTTCAGCTTACAGAAAGATTTAGCACCAAAAAAGGAAATGCAAAACTCTTCTTGATTATGGGCGTGACGCCTCAATAGTAAATGTTCTACATGAACACAGTGTACTTCCAAAACCTACACAACGTTATAGAAAACCCAAACCGAGTGAACACTACAAAACCAAGGTCAGTGAAAAGAAACATTTAGTAGCAGGTGTACACAAAGAAAGGGGTTACTTGATGGCATTGAAGAGAGGGACAGAGCTCATTTGTAGGGCAGTGATGGTGACACTGGTTGAGTGGGGTTTGTAGGCTTTGGTTCCCACCAGGTCCATGATGTAGCCCAGGTATCTGTGTGGGAGAGAGAGAGAGAGAGAGAGAGAGAGAGAGACATGATACAGTGAGAGAAGTTGCAACTTGAAACACTTCGAGATGTACAGTACATATTACTAGAACGAATGCCACGCATTTTAGGGTGAGTAGTTATATTCGTGGGGATTTAGAACGGCGTTCAATTTTTCGCGCATATTGAGAATCGCGTAGAACACTATGGTATGTGCAGTGCCTATCACATGACAAAAAAAATCCCGCACTCAGACTACAGTGTAAGCTCGTTTCGCTCGTCAGTTTCTATAAATGGGTCCATTGGTAACTAACATAATTATGGCTATGGAAAGTAATTTGGGGTTGAGGGATTCACAGAGAAAAACGTCTGAAAATGTCTGAGAGAGTCACCTGAGTTGAGAAGGGGAGGGAGAGATGATTTGAATGTCGAGACTTCTCTTGAAGGTGAACAGTTTGAGCGGGACGAGAGGGCTGGTGAAGGCGTTCAGGAACAGTAGGTAGGCAGTGACTACCAGAGCCGAGACCAGACGACCGTCCTGCAGGTGGCATATGTATGAGAGGGAACATTATGATAGTCACTCACGCTATAGCCAGGATTCTTCAAGGGAGTTAAACTACTAGTTGAGAGCCATCTGTATAGCGAAATTTGTTACAGAACTGCTAATTTCTCTGGAATGTTTCAACTTGACAGGAATTAAGAGTAGCTATTCTCCTCCAAAAGACCGTACATGCATCACATAGTTTTTTCTACATGTATACACATTTCAACCATGACCCACATCATACATAGTGTATTTGTACAGTGATAATAGAGGAGGCCCTGGGGTGTACGTACGGTGCAGTGGAGAACGATGACGTTCTGTTTGTCAGCTCTCAGCCAAGAGTCCAGGTTTCTGCAGAGGTTCACCAGCTTCTCCAGGTCTGGCATCTGCTTGTGAGGCCACGCAAAGTCTGCCACCTACATACGGCACACAGAGTTACACACACGCACACAAGGGCTTGCCTGCAACACTGTTACATACATAGTACACAGGTACACAGAGAGCTTGTCTTGAGCGCAATACTACATGTACTGTATGTATGTGCAGAGAAGACAATTAAACCTTGCTCTATTATTAGTTAGATCTCCCGCTCTGCGAAAATATCCCACTTAGGACTACTGGAGCTTTATGACGTAGAGTTTAATGGTAACGGGCCATACTTCCAACAGCTCGACTTCATAGCCATGTAGACGTATGTATGCAGTGGAACCTCTTATGTGGAAATTTGAAAATTGACACTTGTTTTGATGATTAGGAATACTTTCATCGCCATTATTTAACAACCTCTGAAATAAAACCTCCGTATATATATATATCGTGGTCCGATATTCGACGGTTCATTGCAGAGTGTGTCAGTCTGTGCGTGTGCTAATAGGTGAAGATGTATACATAACGAGACCTGGTTGTTGAGTTGTGCCGTGTCGTAGGCGTGTCCAGACAGGTTGAACACCAGGTACTGTGACGGATGTCTGGTCTCCAGGAACTCTCTCACCTCCCACAGACTGTTGGCATGGTGGCTGTCCTCGTGAGGAAACGACATGGCTACATCAGAGCAGAGGAAATAATTGTGATTGGCTTTCAATACACAACAATGTTTTCCTTTATTTAATGGGGGGGGGGCACAAATATCTGCTGGGAATATTAAGTGAAAGTCAAAGTTAAAAGGGTGCCGAAAACGATAAGCTAAAACACAACATTCTTTCTATTATTAACGGGGAGCGAAAAAGCGATCTGCGGGGACACATTAAGAAAATATAAGGAGAGCAAGAGGGTTGGACACTGCATGTAAAAGAGACATTAAGTACAGTGAGATTCTGTGCAGAGATTGTTGTACATACGTACAAACTGACCCAGAATCCTGGAGGTAATGTAGGCAATATCTAGAGAGGGTCTTTTAGATCCTTGTGTTGCACTGTTTGGAGATTGGAGATTGGAGATTGGCGAGAGAGAGAGAGAGAGAGAGAAGAGAGAGAGAGAGAGAGAGAGAGATATGTAAAATTACAGCGATAGAATACACATGTAAATCGAACTGACTTTGCCACTTGGTGAACGACAGTGGAAGAAGAGTCTTTCAGCTTCTTGAAGAGGTTACCCGCACCACCCTTCACGATACCAAAGAGTTTCTGAGCTTGTTGGCCGGTGGAGTGTAGTGCAGCGTGGACCTGACTGGGGTTCCCTTCATCTGTCTGCAGGTCGACCTCTTGGGTGATGGTTGGTGGGGCTGAGGGGAGGAGAGAGGAGGTAAAGACAAAAGTGGAAAGAGGAAGAGAGAGAGGAAGGAGACACAGATTAAGGAAGATGTAAAAGAGGTTTAGTTTTGTAGTAAGAAAGAAGAAGTATATAAACACGAATAAAGTGTAAAGGAGAAAGAAAACTTTACCTGCTGCTGAGTTAAGCTACATGTACGCTGCACTACATTTTATGCACTAGAGTAGATAAAAAAGAGTATAATATACCGTTTGAAGTATGAGGGGCTGAGTTGGTGAGTGTGAGAAGTTCAGTCTGTGTAGGGAGGGAAGCAAGAGTAAGCAATAATTAGGTGAAGAGAGAGAAGGAGAAACTGACAGAGGGCTGGTCGAGGTTCTCCCGCATTTTGTCTGCCATGGCATAGAGCTGAGCTACTATGGAGTCGACTGTTGGTCTATCAGCGGGGTTCACCTGAAGACAAGCACCTGTGGAGAGGGGGGGGAGGACCGGGGGGAGGACCGGGGGTGTGAGAGGGATAAAAGGACGTGAGAAAGAAAGAGAAGGAGTTCAGTGTGAGACGGAACGGGTGAGATGGAGGAGGAAAATGATTACGGATCCTGCGAGAAATCAAACAGGCAGCCATGCACTAGGGCCATATACATACACCGCACACTCAGAGAGCATGCAAGGCGGAAGACGTATACATATAAGAAGAAACAGGTGTAGAAGCAAGTGTGTACTTAAACTCACGAATGATGCTGTGGAACATGAGGTGAGTTGTGTCGTCGGAGGGCAGCTTGTAGTTGGCACTGAGAATCCTCAGCTTGGCCGAGTCTTCAAACGGATGCTCTCGATAGCACAGTTTGTACAGGAGACAGCCCAGAGCCTGTGTGTGTGTGTGTGTGTGTGTGTGAATCACAGGGTGGCAACTAATGCATATCAAACAGATCAACAACACTCAGGTCAACCAAAGTTCCCAAGTTTTGGAGCACGAAACCAACCATTGCTCTCTACCGCAGTTAAATTTGTCACTTATGCAATATCATGTGATTTGAGAGGTCATTCAGCGAGGGTCCAAAACTTGCATACATGTCTCAACAATTTGGTAGCGAGAGGCAAGGCAAGGCAAACAAGTCAACTACACCCAGGACAGAAGAGTTGCCCTGGGTGGGATTCAAGCCCACGACACTCTGCAGTCTAGGCGAGCACTCTACCAACGTTACTGTACATCAAAGGAAGTGTATCTCCTCAGATATAATGGTACATTAGCTACCAAATTGCCCAAAGTTGGACAGTTTTCTCTCTCAACAGTTGAAGGCTACACTGTAATGTACCCCAGAGTGCTGGGCATGGATTGTAATGTTCTGACCCAGATGTCGGCCATTTCACAGATGGGATGGTTGCTGTAGAGGTCTATCATCTCGGGAGATCTGTACATCGGAGTAGTGTTTTGCTGGATCTGCAGATACGCGACACAATTGATGACCATATCCTTAGGATGAAACTCTATTCAAGCTATTGTAATCATTACTACAAGGGACGTGAGTAAACCCTTTAATCATACAGTACGATTATATGATAAAGATCATTACACTCTTTGAATCAGGAAACACTTATTCAAGCTAACAATATATCACACTCCCACTAATGAGAAGGGAGATTAAATCAAAGATGTACTACTGAAGTATATAAGAGGTCTCTTTGAACCTATGGTGCACAGGCTATGACACCAAACACAATCAAGGATAATAGCAAAATTCTGTTGACAGAGTACATTATATAGGGTCTGACACATGGGCGTATGTTTCAGCATGCAAGTGTGACTGCGTCGGCTTTAAGAAAATTCCAGCAGTTCAGGCAACTACAGTACCCAGTAGGCTCACTTCACTTGCTGGCTACTATTTCACCTCATCATCGGCGAGACCTCTCTCGGTGGCGGTCCAGGAGTGGTCAGGGGCCACGTGCTCCGTTGTGGCACTACCAAAGTCACACAGTTTGATGGAGCCTCCAGTTGTCAGTAGCAGGTTCTCAACCTACATAGTCAGACCCATACAGTTGATACATATTATATAGTCACAACACAAAACTAACTGCACCTTACCACAAGTCATCAATGACAATAATTACTACACTAGCGAATGCATCTTTGGCTAGTGAAGCAAGCAGTTTAATATTTCACGCGTACTCAGAGAACATGTATTATGGTATGTGGAGTGCCCGTCTAGAAAAACCACGCATTCAGACGACTACGACTAAGCTTCGCTCACCAATCAATTGCTGCTGTACAATTCAACGTTGCAATATAATATTACACATGTCAGTGTTGTATTATGGTGAAAGGGTGACCTTGAGGTCTCTGTGAATAATGGGAGGAGTCTGTGAGTGAAGGTGGGCCACCGCGGAGCAGGTCTGGAAGAACACACGCAGCACATGGCGAGGACTCAGTCGAATTGAGTTCACTATGTCCTCCATTTTACCTCCTGCGAGAGATAGGGAGGAGAGGGAGGGAGAGGGAGGGAGAGGGAGGGAGGAGAAGTATATAGGAAGGGATGAAAGTTACGGTATGGCTGGTTTTTTGTTGCAGCAAAATCTGTAACACTCTCTATTTTTAATAAGAAAAGAAAAGAGCGAGTGAGGCCATAAATTGAAGAATTGAATGTCACTTGTGTAAATTTCTTCCTGCACTTCGAAAAGTGCAGGAAACTGTATTTCCTACACGTGGAGGAAGTATGGTTCCTGCACATGTAGGAAACATCGAGTGCAGTGCAGCATCTTTCTTAAATGTGCAGGAAGCATGTTTCCTACACATGTAAAATAGAGGGTGTTTTGTCTCTTTTGAGAAAAAAGTGTGGATATTATAATACACATAATTATGTTGTTAAAAGTGAGGTGAACGCAGTAGTCTGGAACTGTTGCTGCAACAGACATTAAGTACACGTGTACGACTTGCCCAGGGAGAGCAAATCAAACAAACTATGATGTTTTTATGGCCACCAGTGGCACATTCGTCAGTTCCATACATACATTGTTGTCAACCATCTTTTGCCTTGTAACATACTGACGCAACGCATCTTAGCTAAAGTGATGGTTGATTGGTGATGCCTCTATAACGCACCAAGTCTAGCAGTATCATACAATTAATACTAACAGCATATGTTTATTATACATGTGATGTACAATACCTGAGCAGAGCTCGGTCAGGATGACAAACTCAGCGTTGCCATGGGAGGTGTGTGAGGGCGGAGAGCCTGCTGCTCCCTACCAGCTGGATGATGTGAGGATGACCACGCAACTGTTTCTGTGAGAACCAAACGGAGACGGTGAGAATGAGAGGGAGAAATGAAGATTCCTTTCAAAATGTTTCGTACAACCGCTAGTCTGAATACGATACTGCACCAAGATCTGGCTTAGTAAAGAAAGTAGATTGTGTTGTGTGTTTTTTCTTACCAAGAAGGCAATCTCTTGCTTCAAAGTTTTTATATTATCCTTGGCTACCACTTGTCTCTGAGTGTAACATCAGCAGAGTCGGTTTATACGAGGGAAAATAGAGAGTAAGGAGAGAGAGAGAGAGAGAGAGAGAGAGAGAGAGAGAAAAAGAAATAGGAGGAGAGATAAGGGGAAAGATGTGTAGAGGGTTAATGTGAGGAAATATGATCCCTCCACACACAAGGACAAAGTACATGTGAGGAGCTTTCTTTGGGCGCCATAGTTGTCTCCTTAAATAAGCAGAAATTGATGTATAACATATTAGCACCTAGTATTATAGCCATACATAAATTCTTATGCACTTATGGAGGCTCTGTGCATATATATAATTATGTAAATGGCGCCCAAAGGGAAGGTAATATAGGGGAGGTGCTTTAACAAGGTATATACATACGTATAGGGGAGGTGCTATGAAAAACAGTGAAAAACGTGCTGTAGTGCTGCAAATGAGGGGACAAATTGAGCAACAGTGCAGCTGAATCTGGCTAAAAGGACGCCTCATAATGGTTAGGTCCACTTAGAGCAAAATGCATGGATGTATATACTATACTATATACTATATATACTGTGTATGCATGCACCCGTATAATATGTACCTTCAATGCATACTCTTTTCCTGACTGAGTATCCTGAGCCACAAATACATAGCCATAGCCACCTATACATACAAAGATACACACTGTATACATGTAAGCAGTAAACCATCATGATGTACTATGGACTGGACACATAAACTTCAGTGTGAATGGTTTAGTACAGATGTGCGGGTGCTCGCTCGCAGGCTGTGGCAATGTTTTATGTACAGGTGTATGCCGGAATGAAAGGCCCTATGTCTCGCGGTCGTCGCCGGCCAGCTTGCTGCTACACTGCTGTCCTTGTTGGCTGACAAGGCACCAAATGATAGTATGTTTCTCCCCGGCACGTGTGCTCTACCCCACCAATGGACGCCACACTGAAAACATGCACCTTTCTTTGTTATGTGCCACATATTGTCGTTTATACCAACCTTCCGCAATGACTCGTTGATTTTTACCACCTTCCCGCCACCCATGTCCACCTCCTGACCCACGAAACGAGCACCTCCCGAGCCTCCTTCCCCTCCACCTCCGCTGCCACTCAGGTAGCTCCACGCGGAGCTCAGCAGTTCCGACATCCTCGGTCACCACTTCGTCGACGTCTCTACTACCGCTAAACTCTTACGACCTGCGGAGATGTCTCGACCTATATAAACCTCTTCGGCGGTATAAAATCCTTGTCAAAGGCGCAGCAAATTGTACTACTTCACGATAGACGGGAGCAAAGAACTTTAGCTACCCAGTACACACACACACACACAGTCACAGGTCTCGTATTTTGCTTCGATATTTCATGTCGCTAAATTAGAGCAGCAATTACGTCATGCACCACACATATAAGCGCAGTGTGCGAAGAATAAGAGCGCCGCACGTGGAAAATGGCGAGCAGCAGCAAGGAGTTGGACTTGGGAGGGCTCATACTGCAGGTCCTGGAAGAAAAGGGGCAGTTGGACTCGTTTGACTTTTCCAGAGAGGCGGGGAGAGAACATCAGACTGTAGTGGGAGCCATAAAGAGCCTCCAGTCGGTGGGAAACGTGAGTAATCAAACGGGACTCTGGCTGGGCTGCAGTGTGGGCTGTTGTGCAGGTGGTGAGCACCGAGCAGAGACAGTTTGAGAGCTGGGTACTGACTGGGGAGGGGCAGGAGGTGGTGGAGAATGGAAGTCATGAGGCCAGAGTGTACAACGCAGTGACCTCCGATGGCGGCTCTCTTCAGTCGAATCATGTCGATCTCTCTCTCTCTCTCTCTCTTCCTCTCTCTCCTCTTAGTTAGCTAACATTTATTTATTTCTTATATGCAATTGGAATATGAAGACATTTCTCTAAACCTAAACTGATGTTCACATAAAATTTCCCCTCTCCTTCCAATTCCAGAGCAGTATCCCCAATGCCAAGGTAGGATTCAGCAAGGCCATGTCGGCCGGCTGGCTGAGGATAGACAGTCGGCGCCGGCCGAGCAAGGGTGTTTCGCAAGACCGACGCCATCGAGACAACGTGCAGAGTCTCTGAAGCAGCTGCAGCTGGAGGAGAACTGAGCGAGGACAACTGAAGGAACTCAAAAGAGGAAGCTGATAAGCAACGTGTGAGTGCGTGTGTGTACCCGGAAACTAATCAATGGGGTAGTCCCTATTGACAATGTCGTTGTGATGTCATTTCACAGTGTGACGAAATGTCTGGTGGTGAGCAAGGGTCAGAGCTTCACTACTCAGATAGGGAAACAAGAAGTGGACTCACTCCAGAAATGATTACCCTCGTGAGTAAACCTCATCCTCCCTCTTCCTTCCAGCATCTGACCTCTTCCCATAACGGTGTACATATCCAATTGTTAAAGAGTCTTGTGCAGAGCTATTATAGCGCTGTAGCTACATTATAACTCTGCAAACCTGAGTTATGATGACCTACGACAGTAGAACCAAGTCATTGAGCCTACACTATAGACGACTACTTATTTTACCCATGGTTCTTATATGGGATGCGTTTTGTCTATTACTTTCATCCTGTCCTTTTTGACAGAGGTCTGAGACCAAGTCGTCTCAAATCCTACACACTTTCAAAACAAAGCTTCTTTTCCCTTTGAGGGTACAAGCGGCCGGCCACCTCCACCCTCTCATGAAAGTCCGCTCAGCAGTATCGCCAGATCTTCCGAGAATGGGTAAAGTGCAGTAGACCTTCTGAATAGGGCACGCACGTGGAACACATCAAGGTCATTAGTCAGCGTCGTCCCTCATTCAGAGTATATAAATATCAGGGCTTAACCAAGTCTCTTTTATCAATTGGTCGATATGAGAGGGTCCTTTAAGAGGTTTTAGTGTAAACTAATACTTTCCCTTTTTCTGCATCTTTATCTGTGTTTTGACGTATATCGTACATCTCGGAATTTCAGCTGGTGACTCGGAAGCTTTGTTGTGTCTGCCAGGTTCAACAGAGATCCACCAATAACTTGTCGAGAGCGTCATGGCTGGAATTTTCCGAGTGCTCTGTTCCAGCCTCAGCAGCACCCAGCACGGACTGCACACGACACTTCTTCCTCAATGGTGAGGCACAACCACTCTCCTAGGCCATCCATCAAACCGAAACAAATGGCTAGGTAGGACACCTGGACACCTTTAAATCCACAACGGACCTTTGCTACCGTGTGTGATGTATGTAGAGCAGACATCTTTGAGGTTGGAATAAGAACTGTACACAGCATGTACACCTACACTGAATTATACACCTGCAGACGCCCTGTACGTACTTCCACCACCCCCGCGGCATGGAGGCTCTTAGGTTCACTTATCTCTCTGTACGTGTGCCCACAGACCCATGTACGCCCCACATGTTCCCCAGTGGACTACCTTTATTTCAGGTTTGCACTATATCTCTCTATGCGTGTCGCCACAGACCTCCCCATGTCCACACGTTCCGGTGGAATACTAGGGGTCTAGAGTTCACTATTATTTTCTCTATGTTATCGTGTCCACCAGACCCATGTACTCCCACACGTTCCGATGGAGTACCTGCAGAGAGTCAGCGGACCACGAGAGAGGTGGGCTACGGCTCCACTGCTACAGTCAGCCCTGGAGTACGAGCGAGCCCAGAAAACTCCTGCGACACACACCACTGCCGTCTCTGCAGAATGCTCTCCAACTCGCGCAACAGGTAATTCTTACGAGGAAACTGTCGTAAGGAGAAGTTGTTTTGAGCCCTCCGATTGGTTTATCGGTCGATGCACATTTGCATTCATCCGATTTCTATTCGAATTGCCCATGGAACACACCAGTGTCCACACACTGCATGCCCAAAGCACCTGTGTAAGACTTGAACACGCATGATCAATAGTGTGGGTTGGACACACTTGTTGCGTAGATCAAAGAAGTGTGTGAAGCACTGCGGGATTCTTACAGTTAAGATTGACTTTTGTGCTTTTCTGGTGCTCACAAATTGGTATAAACTTTCTTATTGTGTACTGGTTTGTTGCCTTCTGTACCACAGGAGGAGTTTACTCCCAGGTCAAGGGTCTTCAATGACCAGCGTGTTTCGCACGAGACGCTGGACGCCACTCGCCCTGGCAGAGTTCCACAGATAGAAGGAGTTGGGGCCGATTAGTAACGCACGCACCTCCGCCACTCAATGCGGCATGCTGCTGACGCGAGTTCTCAAGAAAAACTCGTTGACTCAGTCCGTTGAGCATTCTGTCGAGTACATACAAGATCTGGGCAGCACAGGGTGGAGATCCCCATGCACTAGTGTGTCAGAGATGCCCGTGGTTCACAAACACTTGCTGCGTGGCAGTTTGGTGTGATTAAGCCTTTTTTCATGCCTGTTCGTGTGTTACTACACATGTTCGAGTCAGAGTATGATGAACTTCGGAGTGAAAGCTAATACATGTATATATGCACTAGTGAATGCTAGTATATCTGCCATTCATTAGGTATTGAGAGCTACGGTTCAAGCCAGCCTACAACCCATATACAGAGCCAAGTATGGAGGTCTTCAGCTACCACGAAGGTATAGTATACAGTAATACTACAAGCTCCACGATTGTGGTCTATTTCCTCCGCATGTGTTCTGTATGTACGCAGGTCTGGGTAAGTGGGTGGAGGTGGGTAACTCGGGTATGTTCAGACCAGAGATGCTGCTGCCTATGGGTCTGCCCAGGGAGGTGTCGGTCCATTGCCTGGGGAGTCTCTCTTGAGAGGTACATATACACATGTGCATGTGCCATACGCACTGTGGTTTGTGGTGTGCCTTTGTGTTGTGGTTGTGTGTAGATTCGAACCCCTACCAGCTGAGTTGCC